GGAGTAGCGCGCAACTACAGCGTCGTACAAGGTGTGAGCACTCTTGTACTGGCTAAAGTGCGCACGCTCAGAGGTAGGCAGGTGGCGACGCACAGCAAGACGTGCAGCAGCATCGCGTGTGGCCCACTGTGAGCGAACAGTGGCGTCGGCATCAGCAGCAGGGGCAGGAGAGGCACCAGAGGTGAGGTCAAAGAGGGAGAGACCGTCTGCCCTATCGCACTGTAGGAAAAGCTGCAGGTCATCTACCCAGACGTCAAAGTCAATGGCCCGACCCTCAGCTTCAAAAGCGAGGACACTAGGGGTAGCCATGACAGCAGTAGACTAGCAGCGCGAACAGTAGGGTAAGGGCAGTGCAGTGACAGAGGCGCTGCTCTTACCGGACAGGGCGGCTCGAGCGGCTCGGCGGGTCGGCAACTCGGCGGCTCAGGCGGCTCGGGCGGCTCGGCGGTACGGCGACTCGGCAGCAACTGCGACTTGGCGACTCGGCGGCTCGGGCGGCTCGGGCGGCTCGGCGGTACGGCGGCTCGGCAGCAACTGCAGCTCGGCGGCTCGGCGACCCGGCGGCTCGGGCGGCTCAGGTGGCGCGGCGGCTCGGGCAGCTCTGGTGGATCGGGCGGCTCGGCAGTAACTCGGCGGCGCCGGCGGCTCGGTCGTGACGGCGGGGCCGCGTGGGGACGGCGGCGGGGCCGGGTGGAGCGGCGGCGGGGCTGGGTGGAGCGACGTTGGGGCCGGGTGGAGCGGCGTCGGGGCCAGTAGAGGCGGCGCCGGGGCCGGGAAGCGCAGCTCCGGGGCCGGGAAGGGCAGCTCCGGGGTCGCAGGGGTAGGCGACGGGGCCAGCAGAGGCGGCGCCGAGGCAGGGAAGGGCGGCGCCGGGGCCGCGAGGACGGCTAGGAGGGGGGGGTCGCGAGGGCGGCTTGAAGAGGCCGCGAGGGCGGCTAGAAAGGGCCGCGAGGGCGGCGTGAAAGGGCCGCGAGGCGGCGCGACACGAAGGAGCCGCGAGGGCGGCAGATCGGGGTCGCGAGGGCGGCGCGACGCGGCCGCTAGGGCGGCGCGACGTGCAGGGGCCGCGAGGGCGACGCGACGGGGCCGCAGGCGCGACGCGACGGGGCCGCTAAGGCGGCGCGACAGGGTCGAGAGAGGGGAGCGCGACTCGGGCAGTGTAGAGCGCGCTCCGGGCAGGAAAAAAAAGGTGGTGGGCCCTAGGAACAGTTCCCACAGGGGAACCTGCTCGATACCATGAGGAACTGAACGAGAATGAATTGACTAAGGGAAAGTTGGGTACAAATGTAAACCCTAGAAAACTGTACCCCATATGTGCTACCCCACTATAGCCTACAGTAGCTATGTCATATAAATCTGACAACAAACTGTCAGAATGTTATTCTCTAGCCTGTAGTGGGGTGCTCTATAGCGAGTACAACCCATCTAGGGTTTGCTATATGTATCCTCATTGCTGCTAGTGAAACCCCCTCTTCTCCTATTTCTCTTTCATATACCCTAAAACCTAGCTATGGCTTCTTAGCCTAAGCTCCTATTTTATCATGCTATCAGAGCGATACGCTCCTGGCCTGTGGGCCCACCTGCTTCCGCTGCCCTACTGTGTGTCGCGCGCCCCGTGGCGCGCGACCTCCTATTTTTCTTCCCGCCACGCGCTCCGGGCGCGTGGCGGTTTTCTGCCCGCCGTGCGTCCCGAGGCGCGCGGCGGGTTCCTGCTTCGTGCGGTGCCCTGCGGGCCAGCGCGCCGGCCCCTCACGTCACCTCGTCGCGGCGCCTTGGGGGCCTGCGCGCCGGCCCCAACCGTCGCCTCGTCGCGGCGTTTTGGGGGCCCGCACGCTGGCCTCTCCCGTCGCCTCGTCGCGGCGCTTTGGGGGCCCGCGAGCCGGCCCCTCCCGTCGCCTCGTCGTGGCGCCTTGGGGACCCGCGAGCCGGCCCCTCCCGTCGCCTCGTCGCGGCGCCTTGGGGGCCGCGCGCCGGCCCCAACCGTCGCCTCGTCGCGGCGCTTTGGGGGCCCGCGCGCGGTCCCCTTCCGTCGCCCGTCGAAGCGCTCTCGGGGGCCCGCGCGGCTCCCTAGCTCGTCGCCCGTCGGGGCGCCCTGGTGGCCGCGCCCTTCCCCTCCCCTCCCTCCTACCTTTCATCTGCAGCAACCCCCCCCCCCCCCCAGCCCGCAACTGCAGCAGCCGCCCCTGGAGCAGCCCGCACCTGCAACGGCCGCCCCTGGAGCAGCCCGCACCTGCAGCCCATCCCGTTCCCCCCCCCCCCCCGTGCATTCCGTGGTGCTGGGGGTGTGGGGTGCCGAGCATGGGGGTGGCGGGTGTGGGGGTGGCGGTTATGTGTTCCTCCCCTTGCTCCTCCTCCTCCCTTGTCTCCCACTGCTGCAGCTGTCGCTGAGGGGGGTGGGTGTGTGGGAGCCTAGGGTTTAGGGTTTAAGGGGGGTGCTGTGGGAGTGGAGCTAGGGTTTGAACAGGGGGTGTGTGAGAGGGGAGTGGGGCAGTTGGAGGAGGTTGTGTGAAGGTAGCTGTCTTGTCGCCTGCAGCGCCTGTAGTCCGTCGCCCTTGCTTCGGTAGCCAGTGAGCCTGTTGCACCAGTCGCCAGTGGGTCCGTTGCTCCTGCCGCTCGTCTATAGCCGCGGAGCCAGTCACTCCAGTAGTCCGTCGCCCTTGCTTCGGTAGCCTCTGAGTCAGCCGCTCCTGTGCCCGTGCCTCTGCAGCTTCAGTCGTTGCCTCCCATCTTCTCTCCCTCCACAGTCTCTCCTCCTCCTCACTTGCCCTCTGTGATTAGCTCTAGCTTTGCTTACCTTTGTGAACTCCTGCTCTATACCTGCTTGCTCATTGTACTGATTACACCCCACTTTGGCTATGGGGGTGTGTTAGAATGTTATTCTCTAGCCTGTAGTGGGGTGCTCTATAGCGAGTACAACCCATCTAGGGTTTGCTATATGTATCCTCATTGCTGCTAGTGAAACCCCCTCTTCTCCTATTTCTCTTTCATATACCCTAAAACCTAGCTATGGCTTCTTAGCCTAAGCTCCTATTCTGTCACAAACCACCACGAGATACACTTGGTGTAGCCTATTCAGTTTGTCTTGATCCGAATCGAATTCTCGAAGCGCGGTCAAAGTTCGAAACCGGACGGATATCGCACCGAAACCATTCGAAACCGAACCACTGAAAAGTGCCAAGGTAGCGCCTGTAAACCACATGAGTTACAGCAATTTCTGAAGTGATTTACCACACGGAAACCTTCGACGTCGCCACAATCCGCGCCAGCACGCCCATGTTTCTGCTGAGCCGCAAGATCAAGGCGCTGGGGGTGAAGATGGTGTTATCTGGGGAAGGTAGCGACGAGGTGTTTGGGGGTTACCTGTACTTTCACAAGGCACCCAGCAAGGAGGTCTTTCACTGGGAGACATGTCGTAAGGTGGGGGAAAATGTACGGGTGTGTGTGGAACTGTGTGTGTGCCTCTGTGTGTGCCTCTATGCGTGCCTCTATGCGTGCCTCTATGCGTGCCACTGTGCGTGCCTCTTTGTGTGCCTCTGTGTGTAGACCCACTCCCATCTCCCTTCGTTTCATTCACGCCTTTTCCCTCGTCTGTTCCCTTGCTCATTACAACCACCAAAATACTCTTCGTCCCTTCACCGTTCTCAACCCAATCCCATCCCTCTAATCAGCTCAGGCTCTCCATATGTACGATTGCCTTCACCCCTCTCCCCTCTTTCCACCCTCCTGCACCCCACCCCACCCCCACCCCACCCTCCTGCACCCCACCCTCACCCCCACCCCAACTTTATCCCCATCCTCCAATCGTCCCTTCAACACTCTCCCTCTTACCCTTGCCTGGACCCGATCCCCTCTCACCCCAACACCATCCCTCCAATCAGCTCAAGGCCCTCCATGTGTATGATTGCCTGAGGGCCAAGAAGGCCACGTCAGCATAGGGGCTGGAGGTGCGGGTACCCTTTCTGGATAAGGAGTTTCTTGACGTGGCAATGAGCATTGATCCTCAGTATAAGATGATTCACAAGAAGGACAGGCGCATTGAGAAGTGGGTATTTCCACAGGCTTTTGACGATGAGGAGAGGCCTTACCTACCCAAGGGAACTAATTAGTCGGACTGAAAGATAAGAGATTTTTGAGTTTGACTCTGAAATAGGTCGATTTCGTTTTTGTTTTGTTTTGTTTTTTCCTTTGTATGCTTGTTTGTTTTTTTTTTTTTTTTTGGCAAGCTTTAACATAAGATACATCTCTTCTGTTTCACTCGTTCGATCCAAGTCTCTTCTCTCCCCTTCTTCTCAACACCTTCTCCCCTCCTCTTCTGCTCTCACCTCCTCCGTTTCCTTTTTCTTCCCATACTCCCAACCTATCCCCCTTATCTGCACATCCTCTACCGCCAAAAGGAGCAGTTTTCCGATGGGGTGGGGTACAGCTGGATCGATGGTCTCAAGGCGCATGCAGAGCGCATGGTGTCGGATCAGGAGATGGCCAACGCTCCCAACCTCCCATGCTGCTGTCCTCCTCCTCTGATCCTCTACCTTTCTCCCATCTTATGCCTGAAACACACCTATCCCCTTTACCAGCACATCCTCTACCGCCAAAAGGAGCAGTTCAGCGATGGCGTGTAGTACAGCTGGATAGACGAGCTCAAGGCACATGCAGAGCGAATGGTGTCAGATCAGATGAAGGCTCACCATCCCAATCTCCTCTTCTCCTCTGCTCCCCTCTCTCCGATGTCCTGGTCCCTTTACCAGCACACCCTCTACCGCCAAAAGGAGCAGTTCAGCGATGGCGTGTAGTACAGCTGGATAGACGAGCTCAAGGCACATGCAGAGCGAATGGTGTCAGATCAGATGAAGGCTCACCATCCCAATCTCCTCTTCTCCTCTGCTCCCCTCTCTCCGAAGTCCTGGTCCCTTTACCAGCACACCCTCTACCGCCAAAAGGAGCAGTTCAGCGATGGCGTGTAGTACAGCTGGATAGACGAGCTCAAGGCACATGCAGAGCGAATGGTGTCAGATCAGATGAAGGCTCACCATCCCAATCTCCTCTTCTCCTCTGCTCCCCTCTCTCCGATGTCCTGGTCCCTTTACCAGCACACCCTCTACCGCCAAAAGGAGCAGTTCAGCGATGGCGTGGGGCACAGCTGGATAGACGGGCTCAAGGCACATGCAGAGCGCTCAAGGCACATCGTTCCGATGGTGGCCCATCGTTCCTTACCAGCTCATTCTCACTTTCCTGCTACTCCCAACTTGTTCACCTTACTCCTATTCCTGCTGTCCCCCTTACCAGCATATTCTTTATCGACAGAAGGAGCAGTTTTCCGATGGGGTGGGGTACAGCTGGATCGACGGGCTCAAGGCGCATGCAGAGGGCATGGTGTCGGATCAAATGCTCGCCAACGCTCCCAACCTCTTCACGTACCTCCCGCCCAAGACGAAAGAGGCACTGTTTTACCGGCGCATCTTTGAGAAGCACTTCCCACAGGTATGTGTGAGGGTTTTTCCGTACTTGCCTGTTTCTCACGCACGCCTCTTCACACCGCTCCCAACCTCTTCACGCACCTCCCGCCCAAGACGAAAGAAGTGCTGTTTTACCGGCGCATCTTTGAAAAGCACTTCCCACAGGTGAGGCTCTTCAAACCTCACCACTCCTCTTCACATACAACACGCCCAAGACCAAGGAGGCGCTGTTTTACCGGCGCATCTTTGAGAGACATTTCCCACAGGTATGTGTGAGGGGCTTCCTGTACTAGCTTGTTTCTCACGCCTCTTCACACCACTCCCAACCTCTTCACGTACCTCCCGCCCAAGACGAAAGAGGCGCTGTTTTACCGGCGCATCTTTGAAAAGCACTTCCCACAGGTATGTGTGAGGGTTTTCCCGTACTTGCCTGTTTCCCACGCCTCTTCACACCCCTTCCAACCTCTTCACTTACCTCCCGCCCAAGACCAAGTAGGCGCTGTTTTACCGGCGCGTCTTCGAGAAACATTTCCCTCAGGTGAGACTCTTCACACCTTTTGACACTTCTTCAAACCTCTTCAAGCCTCTTCACACCTCTTCACACCTCTTCACTCACAACACTTTTAACGCCCCAGGTATGCAAGAAGAGTCTGACAAAAGCCGTCTTTTCACGCATGGAGATGTGCGCTTGCCTCGGTGTGTGCTGTGCACCCAATGTGGCCTCCAAATATTGGCCAACGCTCTTCAAACCACTTCACACCTCTCCACACCTCTTCACGCCACTTCACCCACATTACGCGCACCAGCGAAATGGCACTCTTTGACAAGCACTTCCCCATCCGTGCTACAGCTCTCCACTCGTATCAGTGTCTTCACACCTCTTCACCCACATTATGCGCAGCAATTTGGCACTCTTTGACAAGCTCTTCCCCATCCGTGCTACAGCTCTCTGGGCCATGGCAACACTCCCACAACCAGCACCTCCATTTTTTAGTCGACTCAAAAATCGAATTGGCAATCTTCGACAAGCACCTCCCCATCCATGCTACAGCTCTCCACTCATCTGTAGCACAGCAGTGGCTGTAGCACAGCAGTGGCTGTAGCAGAGCAGTGGCTGTAGCGCCTAAACTCCCTCCCTTCCCCCCCTCTCCCACCCCCACTTCTCTCCCCCTTTCTGCTACAGCGCTCTGCTCGTCTGACTGTCCCTGGAGGTCCCAGTGTCTCCTGTAGCAAGGCAGCGGCTGTAGCACTTAAAATCCTTCCTCCCCCCCAACCCCCCATTCTTCTCCCTTTCTGCTACAGCGCTCTGCTCGTCTCACTGTCCCTGGAGGTCCCAGCATCGCCTGTTGCATGGCAATGGCTGTAGCGCTTAAAATCCCTCATTCCCCCCACCCCCCTTTTCTTCTCCCTTTCTGCTACAGCTCTCTGCTCGTCTCACTGTCCCTGGAGAGCCCAGTGTTGCCTGTAGACTTTTGAGTCGACTCAAAAGTCAACGAGCCCAGTGTTGCCTGTAGCACAGCGGCAGGTGCAGCATGGGATGCTGCCTGGCGAGACAACCTGGACCCCTCTGGCCGTGCTGCCCTGGGCGTTCATGCTGCTGCTTTTGAAACCCGAGGTCCATAGCTTTCAAAGGTAGGAAGGTTGGTTGGCGCAAAAGACGTAAGTGGCAGGTGTAGCATGGGATGCTGCCTGGCTAGACAACCTGCAGGATGCAGTTTGAGTCGACTCAAAAGTCAACTTAGCACGGCGGCAGGTGCAGCGTGGGATGCTGCCTGGTTAGACAACCTCGACCCCTCTGGCCGTGCTGCTCTGGGCGTGCACGCTGCTGCTTATAACGAGGATGCAGTTTGAGTCGACTCAAAAGTCAACTTAGCACGGCAGCGGGTGCAGCATGGGATGCTGCCTGGCTGGACAACCTGAACCCCTCTGGCCGTGCTGCTCTGGGCGTTCATGATAGTTACTGGTAAATACTTAGTTACTGGTAAATGCTTAGTTACTGGTAAATACTTAGTTACTGGTAAATACTTAGTTAACCGGTAAATGCTTAGTTAACCGGTAAATGCCTAGTTACCGTTAACTATCGTGAACTCTCCTTGCAAATGCTATTTCTTGGGGCTAATGACTGCTGGTTGACAAAGGAGTTGAGCTGAATTTGCACCAAGAGAACATGTTCATACAAATTATCCCTGGCAATGTCTGCAGTCCATCACTCAGAGTTCACTTGTAGAGTTTACTCAGCCTCACTCAGAGTTTACTCTGCCTCACTCAGAGTTTACTCAGCCTCATTCATAGGCTTTACGCAGCCTTACATTACACCCCCCCTCATATAATTTACTCAGCAGCAAAGACCAGGTGTCGGAAATGAGAGATCCGTCCTGCCTTACATCCTCTGCTCCCTTCCCATGCTTTCCGCGCTGTACGACCTGCCTCGACTCTTTTTGTTGCGCAAAACTCCAGCATATGGGGCGTGAAAGATGGGGAAGCAGGAGGCAGTATAGATGGTTCCGGGTCTGACGCATGGCTGCATATGATTGGTCAGCCACAGGCCCGGTTCCTGCTTGCTAAGAAAAAAGTTTTTCTGGTGTATCCCTAGTCTATGCTAGAACCAGCTTTTGGGTTGTTGACATGGTTATGGTACTTTCTTTGTAAAGCCCTGTACAGGAAACCATAACATATTCGCTGTCAGATCTCTTTGATAATCTTACGGTAACTTTTTAGCAAAATGCTGAATACAGCGTATAATGCTATTTCAAATGTTTTTTGAGTAGGTTGTATAGGCCTAAGGATGTTACAACTTCTACACCCAGCAACTGCCGCACATCTCCATCCACTCTGTATTGAGCCAGCCGCCCTCCTCCCTCCACCTTCTCCCCCTGCTCCTTGATTCGCTGCCATACCTGCTGACCCGCCTCTTTGAGAGTTAAGCTGCCATCCTACAGGAGCAGCAGAGGGAGGGAGGGAGGGAGGGAGGGGGGGATGGAAGGAGGGAGAGGGGGAGGAGGTAGGATGAAGCAGGAGAGACTACCACAGCAGAAGTAAGTTATTCACTTTCTCCCCCTGCTCCTTGGTTCGCTGCCACACCTGCTCCTTGGTTCGCTGCCACACCTGCTGTCCCGCCACCGTGAGAGTTATACTGCCACCCTACAGGAGAACAGAGGGAGGGAAGGAGGGGAGGGACGGAAGGAAGGAGAGGGGGAGAAGGTAGGATGAAGCAGACGAGAATGATGCATCTGCTCCCCCTGCTCCTTGATTCGCTGCCATACTTGCCGACCCGCCTCTTTGAGAGTAATGCTGCCATCCTACAGGAGCAGCAGAGGGAGGGAGGGAGGGGGGGATGGATGATGGGCGGATGGATAGATTGTTGAATGGATGGATTGATGTATGACGGATTAGCGAACAGATGGACAGCTGGATGGATACATTTCCAAACCCCAATCGTTTTCCTCTCGCCCTCACCTCAAGCCTCAGAAATTCCTTGAGCATTGGGGACGCTTGTTTGGCTCCAGATTCCTCTTTCCCTGAGCTAATACCAGCCTCGTTTCCACCACTCCCTTTACCACCACCCCCTGCCACGGCCTTCACTGTTGCTCCTTTTTGCTTTGCTGCTCGACCTACTCCCGCTGCTCCAGCTGCTCCCACTGCTTCTGCTGCCCCTGCCCCTGCTCCTGCTGCTTTTGCTGCTTTTGTTGCTGCTGCTCCTCCTATTCCTGCTGCTCTTGCTGCTTTTGTTGCCGCTGCTCCTCCTATTCCTACTTCTCTTACTGCTTTTGTTGCTGCTGCTCCTCCTATTCCTGCTGCTCTTGCTGCTTTTGTTGCTGCTGCTCCTCCTATTCCTGCTGAGTCTTGCGCTGCTTCATCCTGATGAGACCTGTCCCCCTCATTATCCACAATCTCCATATGCCGCGATAGCAGTTTCGGCAATCCCAAGAAATGAGCTGAGTCAACCCCAAAGAGAGCCCTCAGCTTGTCGTCAAAGGCTGCTGTGTTGGGGCTGGCTTGAAGGTTGTTGGCCTTGACGTAATTCCAGACGAGGCTCGTTGCTTCAAGAATGCTCAGCTGCTCGTGCTGTGGGGAGAAAAGAGGGTGGCAAGTAGAACACAGAATGGAGGGGAACCGGCTATGAGCTTGTGGGATTCGATGTAGCCCCAAAGAGAGCCCTCAGCTTGTCATCAAAGGCTGCTGTGTTGGGTTCGATTTGAAGGTTGTTGGCCTTGACGTAGTTCCACACTAGGCTCGTTGCTTCAAGAATGCTCAGCTGCTCGTGCTGAGGCATGGGAGGGGAGGGAGCGAGGGAGGGAAGGAGGGAGAGAGGGAGCGAGGGAGGGAAGGAGGGAGGGAGGGAGAGAGGGAGGGAGGGAGGGAGGGAAGGAGGGAGGGAGGGAGAGAGGGAGGGAGGGATGGAGGGAGGGACGGAGGCAAGGAGCACACAGAAAGGAGGGGGTCTGGCTTTAAGGTTGTTGGCTTTGACGTTTAAGCTCGTTGCTTTGAGGATGCTCAGCTTCTCGTGCTGTGGAAGGGAAGGGAGAGAGGGACGGAGGCAAAGAGCACACATTAAGGAGGGGGTCTGGCTTTAAGGTTGTTGGCTTTGACGTTTAAGCTCGTTGCTTTGAGGATGCTCAGCTTCTCGTGCTGTGGAAGGGAAGGGAGAGAGGGACGGAGGCAAAGAGCACACATTAAGGAGGGGGTCTGGCTTTAAGGTTGTTGGCTTTGACGTTTAAGCTCGTTGCTTTGAGGATGCTCAGCTTCTCGTGCTGTGGAAGGGAAGGGAGAGAGGGACGGAGGCAAAGAGCACACATTAAGGAGGGGGTCTGGCTTTAAGGTTGTTGGCTTTGACGTTTAAGCTCGTTGCTTTGAGGATGCTCAGCTTCTCGTGCTGTGGAAGGGAAGGGAGAGAGGGACGGAGGCAAAGAGCACACATTAAGGAGGGGGTCTGGCTTTAAGGTTGTTGGCTTTGACGTTTAAGCTCGTTGCTTTGAGGATGCTCAGCTTCTCGTGCTGTGGAAGGGAAGGGAGAGAGGGACGGAGGCAAAGAGCACACATTAAGGAGGGGGTCTGGCTTTAAGGTTGTTGGCTTTGACGTTTAAGCTCGTTGCTTTGAGGATGCTCAGCTTCTCGTGCTGTGGAAGGGAAGGGAGAGAGGGACGGAGGCAAAGAGCACACATTAAGGAGGGGGTCTGGCTTTAAGGTTGTTGGCTTTGACGTTTAAGCTCGTTGCTTTGAGGATGCTCAGCTTCTCGTGCTGTGGAAGGGAAGGGAGAGAGGGACGGAGGCAAAGAGCACACATTAAGGAGGGGGTCTGGCTTTAAGGTTGTTGGCTTTGACATAGTTGCAGGATGCTCAGTTGCTCGTGCTGTGGGGAGGGAAGGGGAGGAGGTACGAGGAGAGGAGAGGGGAGGAGGTATGATACGAGGAGAGGAGAGGAGAGGAGAGGAGAGGAGAGGAGAGGAGAGGAGAGGAGAGGAGATGAGAGGAGAGAAAATAGCTTACTCCAAGCTTGTTGAAGAGAAATAATATTGGTTGCTCGCCCCAATCGATCTCAACCGTTCTTAACCCACACTACATCCACTCACCTCCTTCCCAATGATCTCCTTCAGTTGCTCAGACGGCCTTCTAGGAAGCTGCTTCAGACGAATAAGCTCTGCTGCTCCTATGCTTCTCCCATCCTTGATTCGATTTCCCACTTTAGAAGCTTGCTTCCCCACTTGACCAGCTTCCGTTCCCACTTTAGAAGCTTCCTTCCCCACCGTAAAAGCTTCTATTTCCACTTTAGAAGCTTCCTGTCCCACTTTAGAAGCTTCCCTCCCCACTTGAGCAGCTTCCCTCCCCACTTCAGAATCTTCCTTCACCACTTGAGAAACTTCCTCCCCCGCTTCAGCAACTTCCTGCATGTGCGGTAGCAGCAGCCCCAGCATTCTCGAGGAATTAGCCTCGTCAACCCCAAAGAGCGCCCTTAGTTTGTCATCAAAAGCGGCAGTGTGGCTTCCCGTCTTGAGGTTATGTGCTTTCACATAGTCCCACACTACCTTAGTTGCTTCGAAGATGCTCAGCTGCTCGTGCTGTGGGAAGCGAGGGAGTGAGGCAAATAAAACAGGGAGGGGAGCGGGCCGGTCTTGAGGTTGTGTGCTTTCACATAGTCCCAGACTAGCCTCGTTGCTTCGAAGATGCTCAGCTGCTCGTGCTGTGGGAGGGAGGGGAGGGGAAGGGAGGGTGGGGGGGCGAGGAGAGAAAAGGGAGGTGGAGGGGCGAAAATGGGAAGAGTGAGTGGCAGTTGTGTTGCGACTGGCCTTGCTGAAAGGAGGAGCCTCATCAACCCCAAAGAGCGCCCTCAGCTTGTCGTCAAAGGCTGCTGTGAGGGATCCGGTCTTGAGGTTGTTTGCTTTCTCTTAGTCCCACACTAGCTTCGTTGCTTCGAAGATGCTCAGCTGCTCGTGCTGTGGGAGGGAGGGGAGGAGTCAAAACTCAACTTGTTAATGAGAGGGGAGGGGAGGGGAGGGGAGACGAGGGAGGGAGTGAGGCAAGGCAAGTAGAACAGGGACGGGAGGGGCCAGGTCTTGATGTTCCTGCTCCCTAACCCATTCCAACCACTCTCAACCATTCTGAAATTTCTTAACCCACACTAGACATGAGCACAAGGGCGAACACCGTTCGAGGCGAACCGAACAGGTTTGTTTTTTTTGCTTAAATTGTTCGCCAAACAGTGTTCGAGGTTCGCCCGAACACGTTCGTGTTCGGCCGCTGCTGCAATTTGCCCTGCGACGAACACGAACGTGTTCGAGGTTCGCCCGAACACGCCTTCACAGGCGAACGGCGAACACCTGTTTTTGCTTCAAGTGTTAGCCGAACCGAACAGTGTTCGGTTCGGCAAACGGATGTGTTCGCCCCTTGCTCATCCCTAACCCACACTCATCTCTTTCCCTATGATCTCCTTCAGCTGTTCCGCCGAGCAAGCTCTGCTCCTACTTTGCGCCTCTGGTTCTCGACCGCTCTTAACCGCTCATGACCATTTTCAACCCAAATCCATCACACTCACCTCTTTCCCACTGACCTCTTTTAGCTGTTCCGACGGCCTTCTGGGAAGCCGGTTCCGCCATGCAAGCTCTGCTCCTCCTTTGCTTCCTCCCAATTCTAAGTTTCCTTGTTCCAGTGCCAACCCATTCCAACCATTCTCAACAACTCTCAACCGTTCTCAACCAGCACGCACCTCCTTCCCAATAATGTCCTTCAGCTGTTCCGATGGCCTCCTGGGAAGCCGGTTCCTCCGAGCAAGCTCTGCTCCTCCTTGGCTTGCCCATACTTTCATGCTCTGCTTCTCTTGCTCAAGCTTAACCTCTTGAGCCGCCTCGCCCTTCCCCCTCTCCCCCTTCCCCCTCTCCCCCTCCTCGGTACCCCCTCCCTCCTGGTCCTCCTCCCCTCCTTCCATGGCCGCTTTTCCCTCCTTTCCAGCCTCCTCTTCAGCCTGAGCAACTTCCATCCCACCCTCCTTTCCAGGCTCCTCTCCAGCCTCCAAATCTGTCTTCTTTGGAGACGTCTCAAAACTTTTGAGAGGTCTCACAGCTTTTCCCTCCTTTCCAGCCTCCTCTTCAGCCTGAGCAACTTCCTTTCCCACTTCAAAAGCTTCCTTCCTCACTTGTGCAGCTTCCTTCCCCATTTCAGAAGCTTCCTTCCCCATTTCAGAAGCTTCCTTCCCCGCTTCAGCAACTTCCTGCATGTGCGGTAGCAGCAGCCCCGGCACTTTCGAGGAATTAGCCTCATCAACCCCAAAGAGCGCCCTCAGCTTGTCGTCAAAGGCTGCTGTGTGGCTTCCCGTCTTGAGGTTGTGTGCTTTCACATAGTCCCACACTAGCTTCGTTGCTTCAAATATGCTCAGCTGCTCGTGCTGAAAAACGGAGGGGAGGGAGAGGGTATGGGAGTGGAGGGAGGGGAGGGGAGGGGAGGGGAGGGAGGGGAGCCTAAGCAACTGCTTTTCTATCTTACCACTATTCTCAACCGTTCATAACTGCTTCTTAACTGTTCATAAGTACAGAAAAACTTAACCGCTCTTAACCGCGCTTAACCCACACCACAAAAAACATCCTTCCCATCCCAATCATCTCCTTCAATTGTTCCGACGTGCAAGCTCCTATTTCAACCATCCTCTACCGTTCTCTACCGTTTTCAACCGCCTTCCCAATGATCTCCTTTAGCTGTTCTGACGGTCTCCTGGGAAGCCGGTTTCGACGAGCAACCTCCATTCCTCCTTTGCTTCCCCTGCTCCTGCTCCTCAATCCATTTCAACCGTTCTCAACCGTTCCCAAGTGCTGCCAACCCACACTCACCTCCTTCCCAATTATCTCCTTCAGCTGGTCTGACGGCCTCCTGGGAAGCCGGTTTCGTCGCGCAACCTCCATTCCTCCCCTGGTTCCTCTGCGTTCCTTACTCTGCTGCTCCTTTTGAGACGTGCCACGAGTAAACTCTTGACCCGTCTCCCCCCTCCCCTCCTCCTCCTCCTCCTCCTCCTTGCCCTTTTTCACTCTCACTGCCTTCCCTCCTTTCCCTGCGCCACCAACTCCCATCCCTTCCCCTTCCACCTCTTCCTGCTGCAACGGCTCTCCCTTCTCGTCTGTCCCTGCACTCTTGCTCGCCTTTTTACCCGCCTCTTTGCTTGCTCTTTTGCTCGCCTCTTTGGTCGCCTCTTTCTCTGCCCCTTTCCCAGCCTCTGTGCTTGTTTCTGCTGCGCCCGACTTGCTCCCCTTGCCCTCTTTTGCAGCCTTAGCAGCTTTCCCTGCCTCTTTCCCTGACCCTTTCCCAGCCTCTGTGCTTGTTTCTGCTGCGCCCGCCTTGCTCCCCTTGCCCGTCTTTGCAGCCTTAGCAGCCTTTTTTGCTGCTGCCCTCTCTGCCCGTGCCTGCTTCACCTGTAAACGCTCAATGGCACTCTCTAGAGTCACATCGTCTATACTCACGTTCTGGTGAGGGTGGGAGGGAGGGAGGGAAGAAAAAGGGGAGAAGTGAGATTGGGTGTGAGGGTATAGAGTGATCTCTGCTTTCTTTTGAGACGAGTTGACTTTTGAGACATCTCAAAAGATTGGGTGTGAGGGTACAGAGTGATCTCTGCTTTGAGACGTCTCAAAACTAGATTGGGTGTGAGGTGACGGTACAGAGTGATCTCTGCTTTCTTTTGAGACGTCTCAAAACTAGATTGGGTGTGAGGATACAGAGTGATCTCAGCTTTCCTTCTTCCTTGCAGCTGCCTTGCCTACCCTCCCTGCCCTGCCTCTTCGCTTGCTCCATGATAAAAGTGATTTTATGAGACGTCTCAAAAATTCACTTTTATCACGTGGGTAAGGGGAGAAGAGAGGGAAGAGAGAGAGAGAGAGAGAGAGAGAGTGATATCTCATCATTCCTTCTTCCTCGCAGGAGCTGCCTGCCCTCTCTCCCCTGCCTCTTTGCTTGCTCCATTGCGCACCCCTTTGGTTGTCATTCTGCCGAAATCTAAGAAAACAAAAGCATCAAGGCTCTCTTTTCACACCTATCCCCACACCCTTCCATGTCACCCCCTAATCCTGTTTCACTCTCACTCACCGTGCCCAGAGATGCTCTGATGAGCCCGATTCCGGGGTACTCGTGCTCCACATAGAAGCAAAAGGAGCCATCATGGAATCACAGTACATGGTAAGTAACTCTTTCTCTCACCGTGCCCAGAGATGCTCTGATGAGCCCGATTCCGGGATAATCATGCTACAATAAAAGCCAAAGGGACCGTTGCAGAGCAGCACAGCACATGGTAAACGCTGTTACAGCAAGCAATTCTCTCTCTCACCGTGCCCAGAGATGCCCTGATGATCCCAATGCCGGGGTAATCATGCTCCATGTAAAAGCCGCACTATGCCTCTCTTCCCACACCTACCTCCACACTCTCCCTCCTACCTTCCCCCTTTCCTCCTGGTAAGCTCTCACCGTGCCCAGCGATGCTCTGATGAGCCCGATGCCGGGGTAATCATGCTCTACGTAAAAGCCAAAGGGACCGTTGCACAGCAGCACGGTCCCCCCCTCTGGGTGTGGCCCCTGTGTGTTTGAATGTGCACGAAAGAGGGAGAGAGGGAGATCATTGTTCATCCAATGAAGGACCATTCGAGGGAGATAGGAAGAGAGGGTACAAGCACACGTTGAGTGGGATGAGAAAGAAGAGCTTTAGAGGGTAAGAAGGCAAAAGGTTCAATCAGTAAGAAGGCAAAAGGTTCAATCAGTAAGAAGTTCAAGAAGCCACGACGGTCCGAGGGAGGGCAAGGAGAAGGATTGTTTCGGTGAAGGGAGTTGACTTTTGAGTCGACTCAAAAGTCATAAAGAAGTTCAAGAAGCCACGACGGTCCGAGGGAGGGCAAGGAGAAGGATCGTTTTGGTGGAGGGAGCAGAGCAGCTACATGATAAAAGTGTAGTTTTGAGACGTCTCAAAACTACACTTTTATCAAGTTCAAGAAGTCACGACGGTCTGAGGGAGGGCAAGGAGAAGGATTGCTTTGGTTTGGAGGGAGCAGCCGCAGCAGTGCAGTGAATGAAGGGGGTTGTGTTGTGAAATGTGATGAATGAAAGGCACTCCACAAGGCGACCCAAACAAGACTTACGACAGTTCGAGGGAAGGCGAGAAGCTCAAGTGCCTTGGGGACTCAAGCTCAAATGAACGGGGTAGTGCAGTGAATGAAAGGGGTAGTGCAGTGAATGAACGGGGTAGTGCAGTGAATGAAAGGGGTAGTGCAGTGAATGAACGGGGTAGTGCAGTGAATGAAAGGGGTAGTGCAGTGAATGAACGGGGTAGTGCAGTGAATGAAGGGGGTAGTGCAGTGAATGAAGGGGGTAGTGCAGTGAATGAACGGGGTTGTGTTGAATGAAATGTGATGAATGAAAGGCACTCCACAAGGCGACCCAAACAAGACTTACGACGGTTCGAGGGAAGGCGAGAAGCTCAAGTGCCTTGGGGAGGTCAACTGAGTCGGGATGGGTGCCCTGGGAGAAAGAGGAGGGGATAGGACAGGACAGGCAGGGAAGGCGGAGTGAGGCATGCTCATAAGAAGGTGCCTGGAATATTCTGGCATACTCTGACAGGATGCTCTGGAGACTCCGGTGTTCTGTAAGTTCTTATTCCGACAGGATGCTCTGGAGATTTTACTCTGTGAGAGGCTCTTGAGCCCCTCACTCCGCCGTGTGACGATTATTTACTCAGCGTACGAGGGAGCAGGACAGGTAGGGGAAGGTTGGTTGGGTAGGCTCTTACAGGGGGCAGGCAGGGAGGCTTGGTTGACTTTGGATTGGAGACCTTGCCGTATGACGACCGTTCGACATATGGGGGAGCAGGACGGATAGGGGAAGGCTGGGTAGGCTCTTACCGGGGCCAGGGAGGCTCTGTTGACTTTGGAGACCTTGCCGTATGACGACCGTTCGACATATGCTCCGTAAGGACCCACTTTGAGCCAGATCTGTGGGAATGAAGGGCGAAAGAGACGAAGAAAGAGAGACGAAGAAAGAGTAAGAGACATAGGATGTAGGAATAGAGCACACCATGATCGATTGCCGCAGCCGGAATGTTCACCATGATCTACAAAGTATCGCTCTCATCACCTTCCCGCTTTTGAGATGCCGTATAAAGACGCGTAGGTTCACTGCCACCTCTCTCTCCCTCCTTCTCTACTCACCTTGGCCCCTGTGCTGGGGTCCTCCCTTATTATGTGCGTCACAGGGATTATTGCAACGGCTAGAGAGCTGTCAGTCCCATTGCCCATCCCATGCATCCCATGCTTCAAAGAGTGTTCACAAGGCTCACTACTCACCTTGACGCCTGTGCTTGGGTCCTCCCCTATTATGTGCACCACAGGGTCGACTGTCACTGCTAGAGAGCTGTCAGTCCCATTGCCCATCCCATGCATCCCATGCTTCAAAGAGTGTTCTCAAGGCTCACTACTCACCTTGGCCCCTGTGCTGGGGTCCTCCCCTATTATGTGCGCCACAGGGATGATTGCCGCTGCCAGAGTGCTATTAGCCCCATCCATCCAATACATCCCATGTCCCAAAGAGCGATCACAAGCCTCACAACTCACCTTAGCCCCTGTGCTGGGGTCCTCCCCTATTATGTGCGCCACAGGGTCGATCGCCACTGCTAGAGTTCCTGCCTTCCCCTCCTGCTCCACCACTCGCGCTTTAAAGCTGCACTCAGAGGGTAGTGGGCAATCAAAGAGAGTGATAAGAAAGAAGTGAAAAGAGTGTTACGTTGTCTTTGGAGTCGACTCAAAAGTCGATGGCCACAGCTAGAGTTCCTGCCTTCCCCTCCTGCTCCACCACTCGGGCTTTAAAGCTGCAGGCAGGGTATAGAACAAAGCGGAAAGAGTGTATAGATTGTTATGGGGTGATCCGTAGCGTGAACAAGGTGTATTTCGTGCTACTGCAAGAAATAAACAACAGAACAGAGCAGAGCATCGAATCCAAGCAGAGCAGACTGAAAAGGCTGTGACAGGCAATAGCAATAAACGAAACGTGGGGGAAAGAGGCACTGACTGGCATGTGGGATAAACACGATTTTTGAGGTGCCTAAAAACTTGGAACGGATGAGCACCAGAAAAGGTGGGGAAAAGGCTGTGACGGCCAGTAGCAATGAATGAAGGAGGAGGGAAGAGACACTGACTTGAATAGCATGTGGGATGAAGAGATAGAGCGAGATACAAGGGTGGGGGGAATGGGAGGAACTGACTGGCATGCGGGATAGGCGGAGCAGCCGACAAAGAGGCCCACTCCCCGGCTGGAGAAGTTGTATTCTAACTCGCCGCTGCCACAGCTGTGGGGGTTTTAGAAGGGTATGTGAGGAGTTTTTTTGTTTGTTTTTGTTTCTTTTTGTTTAAGACAATGTGTGTAAGGAGAGGTATGCAAGGCAATGTGTGCAATATTCTCAGAATTCTCGCACCTCGGGCATGTCTTGGAGTGCGAGGGTGTTGACAATGCCGACGGTGATGATGATAGATGTTTTTCAGAAAGGGCTGATGGTTCTGATGGTTCTGATGATTCGGATGGCAAGGAGGACGTGGAGGATGAGGAGGAGGCGGGAAGAGCAGGAGCACGGGCTTTGGCCAGTACTTCTGAGTAGGTCTGTGCTGCCTCCACCAGCAGCCCATCGCCTAGTGTGACTTGCACTGCTGACCCAACCTGCCAGGTAGGGTAAGGGAGTAAGGTGGTCCGTTATCACTTTGGCAAGTACTTGGGAGGAGTAGGTCTGTGCTGCCTCCCTCCTACACCTCTCGCCCCTCCACCACTCACCGCTTGTGGAGACAGCTTGTGCATTTCTTCCACAATGCACCCTGCCAGTTCATGCCAGCTTCCGAACAAGGGCTGTTTCCACACGCCTCCACTTTTCTCTCCTCTCGCCTCTCCACCACTCACCGCTTGGGGAGACAGCTTGTGCATTTCGTCCACTCTCGGCTGGAAGTCGGTCCAGAAGGTTCTGAGAACCTGCCGCCAGTCCTCTTCCCCAGCTGCCACGTCATCAAACTGCAACGAATGGGAGGGTAGGTAGAGGGAGACACAGTGTGTGCAGGCTACAAGTTCTCATAAAATGTCAGGAGAGGTAACGGAAGGGAATCCGGCACCACAAGTGAATCCATGAAATTGAGGAGAAAGAACTGTATGCGGTGCAGGTACTGCTGTGAGCAAGTATTTTTTAGGCGCCTAAAAAAAACCGCGAGTCATGAGACGACTTTTGAGGCGCCTCAAAAATTGAATCCATGAAATGGAGGAGAAAGAGCTGCATGCGATGCAGGTGCTGCATGATAAAAGTAGTGTTTTGAGACGTCTCAGTACGCTACTTTTGTCACGTGAATCCATGAAGTGGAGGAGAAAGAGCTGTATGCGATGCAGGTGCTCCTGTGAGCAAGTAACGTGGGTGGGTAGTGTCGGCGGGCAGTGCGGGCGGGCAGTGTGGGCGGGCAGTGCGGGCGGGCAGTGTGGGCGGGCAGTGCGGGCGGGCAGTGTGGGCGGGCAGTGTGGGCGGGCAGTGTGGGCGGGCAGTGTGGGCGGGCAGTGTGGGCGGGCAGTGTGGGCGGGCAGTGTGGGCGGGCAGTGTGTGCGGGCAGTGTGGGCGGGCAGTGTGGGCGGGCAGTGTGGGCGGGCAGTGTGGGCGGGCAGTGTGGGCGGGCAGTGTGGGCGGGCAGTGTGGGCGGGCAGTGTGGGCGGGCAGTGTGGGCGGGCAGTGTGGGCGGGCAGTGTGGGCGGGCAGTGTGGGCGGGCAGTGTGGGCGGGCAGTGTGGGCGGGCAGTGTGGGCGGGCAGTGTGGGCGGGCAGTGCGGGCGGGCAGTGCGGGCGGGCAGTGTGGGCGGGCAGTGTGGGCGGGCAGTGCGGGCGGGCAGTGTGGGCGGGCAGTGTGGGCGGGCAGTGTGGGTGGGCAGTGCGGGCGGGCAGTGTGGGCGGGCAGTGTGGGCGGGCAGTGTGGGCGGGTAGTACACGAAGCAGTATGTGCTGCTACGCATCTGTGCAGTACCTTGGATTCGAGCTGGGCAGTGAATCCCGCATTCACATACGGCTCCATGACGTGGAGGAGAAAGGAGTGGAGGTAGTGCTGTGAGCACATACCTGGCCAGAGCACATACCTGGCCAGAGCACATACCTGGCCAGAGCACATACCTGGCCAGAGCACATACCTGGCCAGAGCACATACCTGGCCAGAGCACATACCTGGCCAGAGCACATACCTGGCCAGAGCACATACCTGGCCAGAGCACATACCTGGCCAGAGCACATACCTGGCCAGAGCACATACCTGGCCAGAGCACATACCTGGCCAGAGCACATACCTGGCCAGAGCACATACCTGGCCAGAGCACATACCTGGCCAGAGCACATACCTGGCCAGAGCACATACCTGGCCAGAGCACATACCTGGCCAGAGCACATACCTGGCCAGAGCACATACCTGGCCAGAGCACATACCTGGCCAGAGCACATACCTGGCCAGAGCACATACCTGGCCAGAGCACATACCTGGCCAGAGCACATACCTGGCCAGAGCACATACCTGGCCAGAGCACATACCTAAGCAGGTTACGGTGTGGCCAGTGCAGGCAGTTCTCTAAGCAGTTCTCTAAGCAGTTCTCTAAGCAGTGCTCTAAGCAGGTATGTGCTCTGTCTCGCCTCGTCTGTGCAATACCTTGGATTCAAGCTGAGCAGTGAATGCCGCATTCACATACGGCTCCATGAAGTGGAGGAGAAACGCGTTGGCCTGTGTGGTGTGTGGTCAACAAGGGGAACACAGACAGACGCAAACACGTGATTCAAGCTGAGTAGTGAATGCCACATTCACATATGGCTCCATGAAGTGGAGGAGAAACGCGTTGGCCTGTAACAGCATGGACATGCAGCACACTCACATCGATACAGGTTTGAGAAGGTGCTTCCACACACACACACACACACACACACACACACACACACACACACACACACACAACGTCTCTTCTGCTTGACCACAATGCACCATCTGTATTTGAAGCACCTCAAAAACAACTATCCACCAATGCCCCACCTCACCAAAGCCGCCTGCGGCAGGGTTCTAGAATTGTATGTTCTAGCATGCTAACACTTGTGACTGTACACCAATTGTGGTGTACAGTTGGGTTGGGACTACACCCAACTTTGGGTGTAGTCTTGCATTGTGGGGTGCCAATCCAACCCAATTGTGGAGGAGCCCCCAAATGCAACCCACTTGACCTTAGGTTGCCTCACTTCCCAAAGTGAGGCCAACCCAACCTTTCTCCTTCAACCTTCTCTTCCTTGTATAACCTTGTGCTCTCTTGAGCTAATGTCAATCATTCTTCCTCAAGTTTCTACAGCTCCTAGTTTCTTTCATGCCCCACCTCACCAAAGCCACCTGCGGCAGGTCTTTTGAGAGTGCTTTCACTCACACCAACCACTCCTCTCCAGGGGACCTCACTCACTCACTCACTCTTAACGCACACTTGCCGTACTTTTCTTAGCTTGAAAATAATAACTCACTCACCAGCCGTCCCCTGATTGTGGGATGTAATCTGCGGGCATCTAGCTCCACATACTTGCGTTCCTGGTGAGGAGGGAGGGAGGTAGGGAGAGGGGAAGGGGGGAAAGGAGGGGAGGGGGTGAATGGGGTTGGTAAGGTACAAGGAGCGTCTTGAGCGTTGGTGCGTCGGTGGTTGGTTGCTTTTGAGGTGCCTCAAGTTCAGAAGAAAGGAGCATTGCGACAAGAGGGAGGAGACTATTCCTTCAGTTGCATTGTGCGTGCGATGTGTGCGCGTACGTGCGTGGGTGGGTGGGAGCATATATGGACGTGCGATGTGGGTGGGGATACAGCTTACAAGGAGCGTCTTGAGCGTGGGAGCATAGGTGACAGCTGAGTTGACTTAAAAGTCACAGTGCGACGTGTGTGTGTATGGGGATACAGCTTACAAGGAGTGTCTTGAGTGTGGGAGCATAGGTGGATGGTCGGCCAATGCCCTCCGCTTCCATTTTCTTGATCTGAAAGGTACGTGGTGGGTGGGGAGTCAGTCGAAGCGAAGTGGGAAATGAGATTGGGACGGATTATTCGGCACCTCACCAAAATAAGCTCGATTTTCATGATAGAAAAGTGGTGGAGGGTTGGTCAAGGCGAGGGGATATCTGAGGTTGGCAGTTGCAGTTGCAGTTGCAGTTGCAGTTGCAGTTGCAGTTGCAGTGCAGTCTTGTCTTTTGAGTTGACTCAAAATTCATGTGACTTGTAAGATTGGCAATCGCGGCGAAGGCGACACATAGATGAAGGAAGATTGCGAGATTGAGCTCACAAATCTCCAAATCATCTTTACTTACTACCAGACCACCTATGGCCAGAGCCTAGATGAAGATCCTGAGATTCAACTGTCGTTTTTTTAGAATTCTTAAAAAACATATTCAAATTTCCTAAACATCCTTACTTACCAGACCATCTCTTACAAGAGCACCATCTATTGGAAATTTACCACCATCTATCGAACTTACCAGTCCACAAACTTACCAGAGCTGCCTCGGTGTATCTCGGAGGGGGCCGCGTGAAGTGCTGACTAGGATCCACGGATTCGACCGATAGCCTGTCGCCAGGCTGGCAGGGTTAGGGGCACGCCGGGTAAGGGACGGAGGAGAGGGAGTGGGAGAAGAAAGTCAGCGGATTGGCCACTGCTAGCAAAGAGTTAACCTACAAATGTGAGCGCCTCAGAAAGAGTTGACCTACAAATGTGAGCTGCGGAGTGGACTTTTGAGGCACCTCAAAAGAGTTGGCATGGTTCTCTGGTCCAGGGAGAAGCCTGACCCGCCAAAAAAAAAAAAAAAAAAAAGAGTTGACCTACAAAGGTGAGCTGTGGAGTGGATTGAAATTCACCTGAAGCGCCATGATTTCTTGAAACACGTCTGACGTGGTGGCTGTGCTGTCAGCCTCTGCTGACGTGGCATCGCCAGGTGGCGGCTCTGTGGTTATCCCTTCGGACAGGTCAGACAGGTAGCCCAGTGTCCTCGAATCCTGAAGGGACGGGTGGTGGAGTAAGGCAATGTGACAATGACGACACAGTAAGACATGCTGTCAATATGACGTACCCATCATAGTTGAGCAATAAGCTAGGCGGCTCACATCGCATAGTACATACACAGCGAATAAGCCTGGCCAGGAAATGGCAAAGGCGTTGGCTTGCAGGACAGCAGGAGGAGAGGGCAGCAAGACAACCTCTCCTCCTGCTGTCTCAGATCATCGTTTGGGTGCCGCTGCCTCAACCTCAACAATGTTATAAGAGGCTTGTCCATACTATGAGGTGGTAAGCCAGGCAACTCACACTGTACGCAGCAAGAAAGCCCGGCCAGGCTATGGCAAAGGCGTTGGCTCGCAAGACAGCAGGAGGAGAGGTGGAAGGAGCAGCCGGGTCGAGAGAAGGAGACTCGGAAGCAGAAGGGTCTTGAGACGGGAAGGCGGAGAGCAAAGAGGGGTCGAGGGGGTATGCTGCAATGTCCACTGCTACCTGTGGGGAAGGGGGGAAGAGAATGATTTAAGAGAGAAGAATGATCAAGGGTGTGGTGTGAAGGAGAATAGACAGCAGAGAGGGGTCGAGAGGGTATGCAACAATGTCCACTGCTACCTGTGTGGGGTCGTGGGATGAGGGAGAAGAGGGACGGGTGGGATAGGGGAGTGGGAGAAGCAGAAGGGTCTTGAGACGGGAAGGCGGAGAGCAGAGAGGGGTCGAGGGGGTATGCTGCAATGTCCACTGCTACCTGTGTGGAGGAGAGAGAGGGGAAAGACGGAAGGAAAGGATGGGAGGGGAAGGGGAAGGGGAGGGCGAGGATGGATGGAGGAAGAAAGAAGGAGCTGTTTTGAGTCGACCGATGGCTTTGAGAAGACGACTTTTGAGACGTCTCAAAAGGAAGAAAGAAGGAGCTGTTTTGAGTCGACCGATGGCTTTGAGAAGACGACTTTTGAGACGTCTCAAAAGGAAGAAAGAAGGAGCTGTTTTGAGTCGACCGATGGCTTTGAGAAGTCGACTTTTGAGACGTCTCAAAAGGAAGAAAGAAGGAGCTGTTTTGAGTCGACCGATGGCTTTGAGAAGACGACTTTTGAGACGTCTCAAAAGGAAGAAAGAAGGAGCTGTTTTGAGTCGACCGATGGCTTTGAGAAGACGACTTTTGAGACGTCTCAAAAGGAAGAAAGAAGGAGCTGTTTTGAGTCGACCGATGGCTTTGAGAAGACGACTTTTGAGACGTCTCAAAAGGAAGAAAGAAGGAGCTGTTTTGAGTCGACCGATGGCTTTGAGAAGACTCAAAGTCATCAAGGCGGAAAGCAGATGAGCTGGCATGGCAGTTCTAACTTTCTACTGATATGAATACAAGACGGCCACCCTTTAAAAAGAAGGTATCTGGGTGTGCTCACCCGGCCGTAGACAGCACTTGCCATCTGAGAGGCCGCGAATCGGGTCCTAAAGCCCTCACGGTCAGCAGACTGCCAGGAGGAGTAAGACCCACCCCCTAATAATAGAGTGTAATTGTTCCGCTCACCCGGTCGTAGACAGCATTGGCCATCTGAGAGGCGGCGAATCAGGCCCAGACGAGAGCGTAGAGCTTCCATTGCTACGATCAAGTGTCACCCTTATAAAATACTGTCTTTAGTGCGCTCACCCGGCCATACGCACTTGCCATCTGAGAGGCCGCGAATCGGGTCCAAAAGCCCTCACGGTCAACAGACTGCCGGCAGGAGTAAGATTCACCCCCTAATAATAGAGTGTAATTGTTCCACTCACCCTATCGTAGACCGCATTTGCCATTTGGGAGGCCGCGAATCGGGCCCAGACGAGAGCGTAGAGCTTCCACTGCTCCTCCGACAGGTCCGGCTTGACCAATGCTGTGGGAGTGGAACGGGGGACAGGAAAGCAGGCAGCACAAGCAGGCAGCACAAGCAGGCAGCACAAGCAGGGAGCATGCACACACAGAGCCTTTGAGTCGGGCTCCTCTGTCAAGTCCGGCTTGACCAGTGCTGTGGGACGGGGGACAAGACAAGCAGGCAGACACACCCACAGGCACAGCCTTGGGTTGCGTTGCACCCAGATGAGAGGGTCGGCCTGATGGCTTCATGTGCCTCCTGTGCGTTCCTCGCCTTGGAGGCAAACACAGGGGGGGTGATCTGTATCAGAAGTCACCTACCCCACATAGTCCCTACCGGGCAGCAGGTGCGGGTGAGTCGGTCTGATCGCCTCGTGCGCTTCCAGGGCATTCCTCGCCTTGGAGGCAAACACGCGGGGAGATCATGTCTTCACGCCAGACCAGAACAGGTACCACCTCTGAGTCCATCAGGAAAACACCTACCCACACCCCACCACACCACACCACACCACACAGTACCTGGCAGCAGGTGCGGGTGAGTTGGTCTGATCGCCTCATGCGCCTCCTGGGCGTTCCGTGCCTTGGATGCAAACACACGAGGAGATGGAGAGACTAGCTTGCTGCCGTACTTCTGCTGCAGCAGGGAACGCAGAGACGCCACTGCTGTTTGGGAGACCTGGTATGGTGACGGGGGATAGCGAGGGGGGAACGGGAGGGTGAGAGATGTGGGGGGATGGAGACACGACACGAGCTTGCTGCCGTGCCGTATTGCTGCTGCAGCAAGGAACGATAGAGGGGGGGTACTTTTGAGACGTCTCAAAATCAAAACTTTTGAGACGTCTCAAAATCAAAACTTTGGAGACGTCTCAAAATCAAAACTTTTGAGACGCCTCAAAACTAGATAGAGGGCTACTGCTGCTTGAGAGACCTGGTAGAGTGGGAAGGGATAGCAAAGGGGGAACGGGAGGGGGAGGGACGTGGGGAGATGGGGATACGAGCTGCAGCCGTACTTTTGCTGCAGCAAGGAACGGAGGGTGGCCACTGCTGCTTGGGAGAAACATCCAATACTCTGACCCCTTCTCAACTTAACAACACCCCTTCTCAACTTAACAACACCCCTTCTCAACTTAACAACACCCCTCACCCCTCCCCCCTCACCTGAACGCTGTCTGTGCGCATGTATGTGATCAGCCCAGTCACCATCCCTCCTCCTCACCACATGCCTCATGCCTCACCTTCTATTACCCCTCACCACCTCTCTCCCTCAACCCCTCCCTCCCCCCTCACCTGAACGCTGTCTGTGCACATGTAGGTGATCAGCCCAGTCACCACCCCTCCTCCTCCAGCCAGCCCACGCAACTTCTCGCATACACACTAGTACCATGATACAACCCCTAGCTCTAATGCACCACTCCTCACCACCCCTAACCACCCCTCACCTGCACACTGTCTGTGCGCATGTATGTGATCAGCCCAGTCACCATCCCTCCTCCTCCGCCAGCCCCTTTCCGCCCTGCCCCTTTAGTCCCGCCCGCGCCCTCCCCTTGCAGCACCCGAGAGGCTTCGGGGCCCAGGGCCACTCCCTCGTACAGCCGCTGGGCTACCTGGAATGGGGACAGCAACAGAACAGAGGGAAAGCAGTGAACGGAAAGCAGGGAAGGGGGCAGGTTCACACCCTGTGCAGTGCTTTGTTTGCAGCACTCGGAAGGCCTCTGGCCCCAGCCCGACTCCCACATACAGCCGCTGGGCTACCTGTGATGGGGGAAAGGGAAGCAGGGAATTGGGGGGTGGGCAAGCAGGGAAGAAAGCAGGAGCGGTAAAGCAGGGAGCGAGGTTTGATGCCCTGTGCTTGCAGCACTCGGGAAGCCTCTGGGCCCAGTGCCACTCCCTCCCTCGTACAGCCGCTGGGCTACCTGCAGTGGGGAAAGCAACAGAACAGAGGAAAAGCGGCGAAGGGAAAGCAGAGAAGGGGAGCCTCACACCCTTTTCCTTGCTTGCCATGCACACAAGACAAAACCCACCGCCATGGTTCTGCTGGGGCTGAACCCCAGCTTCGAGGATGCTTCCTGCTGGAGAGAAGACGTGGTGAAGGGTGGAGAGGGGGAGCGCCTGGTCTGCGAGCGATTCAGTCCTTGCACCTGCAGCTCAATCCCCTCCACCAGCACTGCCGCTGCCGCGTCTAAAGAGGAGACAGCCTCAAAACTCACTAAATGAGTGGGGCGAAGGGAGCCAAGCACTCGGGGTCCCAAGTCCCGTCCCAACTCTTCACAAGACACTCACCGCCATGGTTCTGCTCGGGCTGAACCCCAGCTTCGAGGACGCTTTCTGTTGCATGGAAGATGTGGTGAAAGGAGGGGAAGGAGACCGCCTGGTCTGCGAGCGGTGCACCCCTTGCACCTGCAGCTCACTCCCCTCCACCAGCACTGCTGCCGCCAGTGCCCTCTCCCCATCCCTTATCCAACCACCTCCACCTCTCTCACTCCTTAAGAATAACCCAGGACAGGAGAAGTGATCCACTCTGTAGTAGCAAGCAACCCACCAGACACTCACCGCCATGGTTCTGCTGGGGCTGAACCCCAGTTTCGAGGACGCCTCTTGCTGCATGGAAGATGTGGTGAAGGGGGGAGAGGGGGAGCGCCTGGTCTGCGAGCGATGCACTCCTTGCACCTGCAGCTCACTCCCCTCCACCAGCACTGCCGCTGCCAGTGCCCTCTCTCCATCCCTTATCCCCCCCTCCACTTCTGCTGCTGCTGCTGCTGCTACTGAATTTTCATCCCCTTCTTTCCCTTGTTTCTCTTCTTTCGCTTCTTTTGCTTCTTTCCCTTCTTTCGCTCGTCTCCCTCCTCCTGCTCCTCCTCCTCCTCCTCCTCCTCCTGCTCCTGCTCCTACAGGTTCCCCGAAAAGATGAGTGAGTCTAGCTGGGAAGGACAGAGGTGCATCGCTCCCCACTCCTGCTCCTACCGCTCCTACCGCTCCTACCGCTCCTCCTTCTCCTCCTTCTCCTACTTCTCTGCCTCTCCCTGCCAGCTTCCTTTCCAAAAGCCCTTTTGAGCTTTCAAGAAGCGCACCCTTGGTTGTTCGACACGCCTGCACCATGGCACTCACAGTCCAATACTCCTGCGTGTTAAACCCCGCCACCTCGCCCTCTCTCTCGCACACGAACCGCAGAGCCACCGACTGAACACGCCCTGCGGATTTGCACCCAGGAAGTTTCCTCCAGAGCACAGGAGACAGGTTAAAGCCCATGAGAAAATCGAGAACCCTGCGGGCGAAGTATGCGTCTACTAGGGGTTGGGAGAGCAGCCGGGGGTGGGAGAGGGCTGAGAGAACGGCAGATGGGGTGATCTCGTGGAAGGTGGCTCGGTGGATGGTGAGATCGCAGCCGTTGGATCCCGCGGCAGGGAGGAGCCACTCGTCGTTGGATGGAGAGGGGGGAAGAGAGGGAGAGAGGAGAGGCGAGAGAGGTGAGGGTGTTTCTTGCATCAGTGGTAGTGACGAGGATGGTGATAAAGATGTTTCTGACAGTGAATAATCGCTGCTTTTGCTGCTTCTGCTTCTGCTGCTGCTGCTGCTGCTGCTGCTGCTGCTGCTGCTGCTGCTGCTGCTTTCCTTCAGCTCCTTTCTCACCTCCCCTAGAAGCTCCTCCCCTTCCAACCACCCATGCTGCCCGCCTTGCTGCTTCAACCCTTCGCCTCGCGACTCACCCACACCACCAACAGCACCATCAGCAGCAGCAACATTGGCACTCGCCGATCCATCTAAGCTCCCTAATTCTTCTGCTTCGGGACTTATCAGGCTCGAATTAGCAGCAGCAGCTCCGTTGGAGAACAGATCGGATTCTCCCTCCCACCCTTCTGCACCTTGCAGAACCGCTCCTTCCTCCTCTGCTGCCTCCTGTGCCTCTGCTGCCAATTGCTCCTCTATAAGAACAGCCTGTTGGTGTCACGAGGGGAGAAGGAAACAAAACAAAAACAAAAACAAAAACAAAAACAAAAACAAAAACAAAAACAAAAACAAAAACAAAAACAAAAAAAAGAGAGAGAAAGAACACTGGGTGCAGTGCAGGATGAGGGGTGAACGAGGAAAAAAGACAGAAATTGTATGGATATGATGGACCTCAATATACATCAGAAGTAATCCTGTTGCACCATCCTCTCTCTCCGCTGTTCCTTCTCCCTCTGCTGCACCTCTGCTCTCCGCCTCGCCGCAGCAGCCCCCTTCGAGCTCAATAACCCGATCCTCCCTCACTCACTCACCTGTTGCACCATCTTTTCTCTCCGCTGTTCCTTCTCCCTCTGCTGCACCTCTGCTCTCCGCCTCGCCGCAGCAGCCCCCTTCGAGCTCAATAACCCGATCCTCCCTCACTCACTCACCTGTTGCACCATCTTTTCTCTCCGCTGCTCCTTCTCCCTCTGCTGCACCTCTGCTCTCCGCCTCGCCGCAGCAGCCCCCTTGAGCAGTTGGTACACGTGCCACGCGATCGCCTCCCCCTCCCTATCTGCATCTGTTGCCAATACCACTCCCTGAGATCTGCAAGGGGAGAGAGGAGGAGTAAATGAAGCGGGAAGAGAGGAGGCCAACGCCAGCACCACCAGCAGCAGCCCCCTTGAGCAGCTGGTACACGTGCCACACGATCGCCTCCCCCTCCCTGTCCGCGTCTGTAGCAAGCACAACTCCTTGTGACCTGGGTTGAGGGAGAGAGGAGAACGGGAAGTCAGAAGCAGCAGCAGCCCCCTTGAGCAGCAGCAGCCCCCTTAATCAGCAGCAGCCCCCTTGAGCAGCGAGGGGAATTGGCAGCTTACCTAAAGGCTTCAAGGGCTATCCCTCGGGAGTGCCGCACAGCCTGGGGCAGGATGCGCCAGTCGATGGCGAAGTCAGCTTCAGGGGAGACAACATTGTGTTGACTTGCATTGACTTGTGCTGACCGAACTCACAACACTCACCTGAACGCAGCAAGGGCTATGACTCAGAAGTGTGGCACAGCCTGGGGGAGGATGCGCCAGTCGATGGCGAGGTCAGCTTCAGGGGAGACAGCATTGTGTTGACTCGCGTTGACTTGCATTGACTTGTGCTGACCGAACTCACAACACTCACCTGAATGCGGCAAGGGCTATGACTCGGAAGTGTGGCACGGCCTGGGGCAGGATGCGCCAGTCAATGGCGAAGTCAAATTCAGGGGAGACAGCATCCTCCTTGTTGGGCACATCCCTCACATGCCCATGCACTGTGCTGTGCATTGACTCACGTTGACTTGCATTGACCTGTGTTGACCAACACTCACCTGAACGCAGCTAGGGCTATGGCTCTGAAGTGCGGCACAGCCTGGGGCAAGATGCGCCAGTCAATGGCGAAGTCAGCTTCAGGGGAGACAGCACCCACCTTGTTAGGCACATCCCTCACATGCCCATGCATGCATCCATGTCCATTGACTTGCGTTGACTTGCGTTGACTTGCGTTGACTTGCGTTGACTTGTGTTGACCAACCTCGTAACACCCACCTGAATGCAGCAACAGCTATGGCTCGGAAGTGCGGGACCGCCTGAGGCAGGATTCGCCAATCTAAGTCAGCTTCAGGCGAGACAGCATCCACCTTATTGGGCACATCTCTCACATGCACATGCGCTGATGTGCGTTGACTCGCGTTGACTCGCGTTGACTCGCGTTGACTGGAGTTGACCAGCACACTTTTCTCACCTGAATGCAGCTAGGGCTATGGCTCTGAAGTGAGGCACGGCCTGGGGCAGGATTCGCCAGTCAATGGCAAAATCAGCCTCGGGCGAGACAGCATCCACTTTGTTCGGCACATCCCGCACATGCCCATGCGTCGCCAGCACTGAAAACTCTCTCCTTCTCCCCTTCACCCCTCCTGCTCCACCTGTTGTTCCTACTTCTCCTCCTGCTGCTACTCCCACTGTTGCTCCTGCTGTAACGAGGATTAAGGGGGGCTCGGGATCAGAGGCTAAATGCTGGAGGTACCCCTGAATTGTGCGGGCTTTGGAGGGGGATTCCACCACCACCAACCATCGTTCCACCTCCTCCCTTCTGCTTGCACGAGTGGCCCTACCACTAGCACCACCAACACCACCAGCACTAGTAGTAGTGGTATCGACTGCACTTGCAACCAGAGCAGTGGGAGTGAGGGACACTCTGCTTACTTCTGCTTCCTCTGCCTCTGCTGCTGCTTCTGCCCCTCCTCCTAAAACTGCTGTTTCTGCTGTTTCTGCTGCTGCTCCTGGCAGTGCTGCGTCAACTGCACCTGCTGGTTCAGCCGTACCAACCGCCTTACTCCCTGCCTTCCTCTTTGTCCTCTTGCCCGTTGCTTTCCCCAAACCCTCCACCGCGTCTGCTGTGCCTGCTCGTGCTGCTGCTTCTCCCGCTTCTGCTGCTGCTGCTGCTGGCGTTGCAGCGTCCAGTACCTTTTCGCTCTTCCTCACTGCCTTTCTCCTTGGGCTCTTCACCTTCTCCTCTCCCAGGCCCTCCTCCCCCTCTTCTCCCTTCCTCCTCCCTTTTGCTGCTGCCGCAGGTATTGCAGCGCCCAGTACCGATTCACTCTTACTCTCATCCTTCCTCACAGCTTTTCTCCTTGGGCTCTTCACCTTCTCCTCTCCCGGGCCCTCCTCCCCCTCTTCTCCCTTCTTCCTTCCTTTTGAAGCCTTCTTCTTTCCCACAACCGCATCTGCTGACTCGGCAGCAGTTGCTGACTCTGCACCAGATGCTGACTCGGCAGCATTTGCTGACTCAGCACGTATTGCAGAGCAGCACAGTGGTCTTGTGCTGCAGGTACCACCGACGATCTTGGGTCTACTACCAGAGAAACCATTCGTTTTAGTCACATTCGGGACTGTGCTGCTGCTGGGTCGGCTACCGCTGCTGTAGCCACCGCTGTTGCTGCTGCTAGCGCCGATTCTGAATCCACTGCCAATGAAGCCGTTGCTGCTGCAAGCACAAACCTTGGAGATACCGATGCTGCTGCCATTGATGCTGCTGCTACTGACGCTGCTGCACTTATTAACATTAGAACTTCCAACAATAAGCCTACTAGTGTTGATGCTGCCGCTGCTAGTGCTGAAACGGCTAATAACGTTGCTCTTGGTGCTAATACTCAATCTATTACCGGGACTAACGCTGATGCTGACGCTTCCACTATTAAATGTACTAGTTAATCTACTGCTACTGCTACTAGCGCTGACGCTGCCACTACTCCGCACAGCAGCCGCGCCGCTCTCCCAGATCAGCATCAGCGCGTCGCGACTGACTATCAAGCGGTTAATGCGCCTCGCATACGGGGAAAGAGCAGGCATCCCTCGATGTTGCCGCCGCGTGTCGCCGTTACCGCTGGAGCGTTGCTGTTACCTCTGACGTGTTGCCGTTACTGTTACTCGCTCCCGACCAACATCCGGCTATCAAACGATCAACGCAGCGCAGATACCGGGGAACACCCTCGATTTCACGTGGATCGTCTCCCCTTCCACGTGTATCCGGATCAGCGGGTGTACAGCGTGAATCACGCCATGACGTCCGGAGATGGAGCGGTACACTGCGGTGATTCGAGTTTCCGGGCGGTTCTGAGCGTGGCTCTCCTGTGAAGTGTCGCCGCGAATGTACCGTCAGAGCTCCCGTCAGGTCTTCCGACTTGTTCTATCGGTATTAATCCCTTTCATGCGGCGGATACCACGGAAGGGAGGGCAGGCATTACCAAGGTCTGGGGGTTATCTGCAGTCTAACACATAAGGGGCAGACCAGCGGAATTTTCGTGTATTACCCTCCTCGGTAAGAATGCTATGCTAAATTACAGTGCGAGATGAAGGTTACATCTCTATTGTGTAGAGTGGGTACAAGAAATATGAAACTCACCCAATATAAGTGCTTCGTTATATTTAAAAAATATCTTTGACGACAAACGAGGCCGTGCAAATCGAAGATCATGTCCAAGCTCTCCCCAACACGAAGAGTCACAACACTGTTTCTAAAGGCCTCAGAACGGTCAACTGCGATATACTTATTCTTCGCCCTAACCCCAAACCTCAGGATTATCCCACATCATCTTTCTGACCACTTTCTTTCCCTCCCTCTCCTCCTCAACCCTTCCTCCGTCTCTTCAAATCTGCATAGCCATTCTCCTGATTCCTTCCATTCCCTTCTCGGGATTGCCATTTTTTTCCAAGCCTCGTTTGTACCTGACGAATGCCGGATCACCCAAACGCTAGTGTCTCCTGCGTCGCCGGAGATTTCTTCAGATCTCGTCTCCCTCGTCTCGGTATACTTCGTCCAGGATTTGAGCTCGTCCGAGCTCTTCATCCCACTCTCACGCACACTCTCCGTGCATCTCGAAAGTCGTTACTCCGCTGATTTAGGGTTACGCCATGGCTGACGACGAAAATGTTCCGACCGTCTCAGACGTGAGTGAATCCTCCCTAGTTTCTACCTTTAGTCCTCGCGTATGAACGCATTTCCGACAGCTCTCCGATTCTAGAGAAGTACCATCGGCGTTATCTCTATCTGTGTTTGACATTAGGTCGGTTTGTTCGATCAAACTATGGATAACTGACGACTGGTGTGTGTGCGTTTCCGTAATACGCTGAAGTAGTCCATTCCTTTCGTTTCTTGGGTTCAGGCCGGGTCGTTTGATCTAAGCAAGAAGAAGAAGAAAAAGAAGAAGGATCGGTCTGCGGAAGAGGAAGCCGCTGACGTGGCAGAAGTCGCCGCGAAGGTCGAAGACTTGTCAGGTAGGATCGGTTCAGGTAAATTAAGATCGGTACGACTGAGATTATTAACATGAGACCCCCGTTGGTTCGTCGATCTATATCATTTATTCTGTTTGAGTACTTTTCCACCTCTGGTCACGTTCTTGTCAATACTTGCAACTTTTTATTTCTTCTAAGATTTCACTTTCGCAGTACTTTTCTTGTCGTTTCTCCCCTTTTTTTTTTTTTTTTTCCCGATCCCCTTCCCAAGTGCAGTGGAGGACTCCGTTGAGCCTGTGGACTTCGGTGCGAAGAAGAAGAAGAAAAAGAAGCCGCAGGTAGGTCCGTTTTTTTTTTTTTTTCTCAGGAGTGACCCAGAAAACGAAAACGCCTCTGATAAGTTCGAGGCTAATAAACGAAATTAAGATTTCGTAACCTTGTTCTGGAGCATTTTCAAGAGAAAGAGCTAGTACCAACAGCTGGCGGGGAGAAGGGTGACAGCGGCGGCAGAGGGAGCAGCAGCATTGGAAGGGGAAGGTTCGAAGTTCCCTCATTCCCATGCGTTTGTGTTTCTTCTTCCCTGTTTTTGCAGGCTGACGGGGAGGCCCCCGACGGCGAGAAGGAGAACGAAGCGACGGAGGAGGGAGCGGCAGGCGGGGAGGGAGAAGGGTTAGAATTGAAGTTGGTGAAGAAGAAAAAGAAGAAGCCGAAGCAGCGCACGGAGGAGGAGGTGGTGGAGGCTTGAAACCCATTCTTTCTCTTTCCTTTTCCTGCGTTTACAGGCTGACGGGGAGGCCGCAGACGGCGAGAAGGAGAACGATGCGGCAGAGGAGGAAGCGGCGGGGGAGGAAGGGGAAGGACTGGAATTGAAGCTGGAGAAGAAGAAAAAGAAGAAGCCTAAGCAGCGCACTGAGGAGGAGGTGGTGGAGGCAGAGGAACACGCTAAGGCTGCTGAGGAGGACGAGGAGGAGGAGGATGAGGAGGGCGCGGGGGAGGGGGAGGAGGATGAGGAGGCGGAGGGGATCGAGCTGGGAGGGCCCACGAAGCTTCCGTGGGAGGGGACGGACCGGGACTACAAGTATGAAGAGGTGAGTTGAGGTGTTTGGAGGTGGGGGAGAAGGGGGAAAGGTGGGGGGGAAGGGGGGTGAGGGGGGTTGGAGGCGAAGGACCACGCCAAGGCGGCTAAGGGGGACGAGGAGGAGGAGGACGGGGCGGGCGCGTGGGAGGTGAGGACGACGAGGAGGCGGAGGGGATCGAGCTGGGAGGCCCCACGAAGCTTCCGTGGAGGGGACGGACCGGGATTACAAGTATGAAGAGGTGAGTGGAGTGTTGCGAGGGCGATGTGAGACGGAGAGTGCGACTGTGGGATGGAGTGGTGGGAGTGGGAGTGGGAATGAGAATGAGAATGGGAGTGGGAATGGGAATGAGAAATAGAATGGGAGTGGGAATGGGAATGAGAAAGAGCACGGGAGTGCGAATAAGAATGGGAATGACATACGAGGAGGTCTCGTCTAGCTACTGCGGGAGGGTCTGAATCGGGATTGTTAAAATTCCCTTTTGGGACGGATGCCTTTTCAACTTCCGAGATTCTAATAAATCGAGACAGATGTCTTACTGGCTGTCTCCTTATTTCCCCTCCGCTTCCTCTTCCCTCCCACGCCCCCACCCATTCACTTCACAACTCTTGGGCCATCAAACCATGCCTTACCTGCTGACTCCTGTCCCCCCCCCCCACTCCCTCTCTCCCCCCTTCTTTCCCCCCGTTTTCTTTCCCCTCAACACCCCATCCACTCACAGCTCCTGAGCCGTGTGTTCAACATCCTGAGGGAGAACAACCCCGAGCTGGCTGGAGATCGTCGCCGAACCATCATGCGCCCTCCCCAGGTGCGTAAGACGAGCGCTCCTTTGGTGAAAATGAACGCGTTCACACGTACTCTCTGCACACCCAACGCTCTGTGGGACACCAGCATGATTACCTGCATGCAGTACACACACCTGTGGCTGTGGGAACGTGCACGTACGTGTGCGCACACACACATACAAAGAGCACTTATTCTCACTAGCAGAACGCTCTCTGACGTTCATATCGCGTCCCTTCTCGTCCCCATCGCCCCCATTGTCATGCCTGCCCGTGCAGGTGCTGCGAGAAGGAACCAAGAAGACTGTTTTCGCCAACTTCATGGACCTCTGTAAAACGTGAGTATCACATGCAGCACCAATGCGTGCCTCCGCCCTCCCCCCCTCCCAAACCCCCCACCCCACTTTCCCTCCCACCCTCCCAACCCCCTCTCCACCCCCCCCCCCCCCCCCCCCCCCCCCCATCCACAGCCGAATCCTCGTTCTCAATGCCTCCTGCTGCATGCATGATCGTCATTATGGCCCCTTTTGTGCTTTTGTAAACATGCTGGTCATTATCGTCGATCCATCCTTCTTCATTTACACACGTCCCCCTGCATGCGTGGAAGTGATTTTTTAGGTGCCTCAAAAATCTCTTCATCGACACACACTGCCCAGCATGCATCGGCAGCCGGAGCACGTGATGTTGTTCCTCCTGGCGGGAGCTGGGAACCAGCAGGTCTCAGACCTCCCCTTCGTCACCATTCTTGACACCTCTTCACCTCTTTGTACCCCTTTTCACAATTCTGTACCCCTCTTAACCGCACTCAACCCTTCCCAGCATGCATCGGCAGCCGGAGCACGTGATGGCATTCCTCTTGGCTGAGCTGGGAACCAGCGGGTCTCTGGACGGGCAGCTGCGGCTAATTGTGAAGGGGCGATTTGCACCGAAGAATTTTGAGGGCATTCTGAGGCGATACGTCAGTAAGTGTTGCTATAATCACCCATTTTGCTATTGGCCGAGATAACGAGGGGATGATTCAATTCAGCTTGTTCTAATTAAGATGGCCTGTATTTATCATAGACTGGATTCCTAGCTCCCTTCCTCCCAAGGTCCCTTCTCCCCCCTTCCCTCCTTGTTCCCTTTGTTCCACTGCCCCAAACCTTGACCATGTTTCTCCACTTCCCCCTCCCCCCTTTCCGTCACCAGATGAGTACGTGCTGTGCAACGGCTGCAAGTCACCAGACATCATCCTTCATGTACCCTTGCCCCATCATCTTAAGGCCCTCTTGCTCTCATTCTGTCCCCCCTGTCTGTTTCCAGATGAGTATGTGCTGTGCAACGGCTGCAAGTCGCCAGACACCATTCTCTCCAAGGAGAACCGACTCTTCTTCCTGCGATGCGAACAGGTACACTTACCCGTTTCGTTTTTTCATGGTACCTAAATCTTGAGATTCGTTGAGGGCGGCCAATTATTTTTATTATGGTATCATTATTATTTATGTGATGGTCAGAAAAAATGCTGCTGCTTCCCTTACCACCCTTCACCCCTGCTGTCCCTGCTGCCCCCTTGCCTCCTGTTATCTCTGCTGCCCCTTCCTGGTATCTCCCTCCCCGCAGTGTGGCTCGCATCGCTCTGTCGCACCCATCAAGGCTGGTTTCGTGGCTCGTGTTGGCCGGCGCAAGGCTGTCAAGGCCTGAGTGCATATCAGGCCTTTCGAGCAGCCTGCTGCTGTCCTTTACTAGTAGTAGAAAACAGGACACGGTAAAAGCAGTCTCTTTTATCGAAGGTCAATCCTTGCCTTTATCTGAGGCGTGTAGAAAGGTGTGCTGTGGTTTACTGGTAAAAGAGGGTTCTTTCTGTCTTATTTCTAGAGTCAAACTTACCGTACCACATGGCCCAGCAACTGGAGGTGGGGAGTTTTATGCGGGAACATATTGACAACCCACGAATTTTGTCATTCGAATAAAGCTACCGTATTCAGTTTGAGCAGGAACTTATTGGTTTCCCAGATACGGTACTGCTGCATCATAAGTTTTGCAAAGCACCTAGTATCGCGTACAAGAGACACAAAATCCCTAGGAGATGCCTGAACAGCATGCATCAGAACCAATCAGGAATGAATTCTGCCCGTCAGCTCATGGGAAGAGATCATCGAGGGGCCGAACATTAGCAGGGAAGTGGCCGAATTAGGGCCGCGTGAGTCGCACCCCTAGTACTTAGGTCCGAACCTGAGTACGAGCCTAAATTTTAAATTTTCGAGCCATAACAAATATAAACCCCTATTGGATGGCATGCTTTAGGGAGAAATCAACCCTAAACACTCTGCAACAAGGTGTTTAGGGTTGGCTAGTTTCTAAACAAAATTCTGACAGCTTGTTGGGTGTTTAGGTTCGAAAATTGTTCGGGCTAGTTGTGGCGCTGGTTCGGCACTGCTTCGAGGGGGTGCGACTCACACGGCCCTAATTCGGCCATCTCTCTGCTATTATTCGGCCCTAATTTGGTCATTTCCGTCAGCTCGTGAACTCCTTGGTCCTCCGCTCTTAGTAGGCAGGACTGCTCTTGACATTGTCTTGCTTCGTGAGTACTGGGCGCTTCGGTAGTCGCTTCCCCTCCTTCTCTACCTCTCAATGCCAATAGAAGTTACCATCGGCTATGAGTGCTCTCGTGGTTAGACTCAGAACTTCCAGCCGCCATTGTTATCTTGACGCGTTCTCCGACGGAATTCCAGCGCTCACGCGTCGCCTGGCCCACGTGTCTCAGGGAAATCTCCGCCGTCCATCTTGCCATCCGCTCGAACTCTCGGCCATTCGTCTACCCATGGACAAATTTCACGCTTCGAGGCATATTCTGAATGCAAAATGCAGACTGCAGTGGGGCTTACGGAAACGTTTTCTGAGATTGGCACTATGGGCACCGCCGTTTACAGAAATAACCTCGTGACAAGCAGCTCCATTGTAGGCAGCTCCGCTACAAGCACCCGCGTTAGCGTCTGTAAGACGCCTCCTGCAACGTGGCTGAAAACGATAACCAAAGCACCTGAAGAGCTTTCGCTGGTGCGGCGTTTTAAATTTGGCAGCAGTTTCCTGAAGGAATTTGGGAATGGAAGAAGCATCGTTGGTTACAGTGGAAGAGGCAGCAGCGGTACCTTCGGTATCAGAGCTTTGAGTGGAAGGAGTGGTGAGAGTGGTGAGAGTTGGACGAGCAGCGAGAGCAGGAGGGGCGGTGAGATCGAGAGAGGGAGTGGGAGGGTGTACAGTAGAAATGTCAGAAATGTCAGCACTTCTACCGCTACTGGCCCTGAAAGCAGCAGTGGCAGCAGCAGCGGCGGCATTGGCAGCAGCGGCGGCATTGGGAGCAGCAGCAGCAGTGGGAGCAGCGCGAGCAACGATAGCGCCGATGCGGGAGTTACAGTAACCAACATCTTTCGTTTCAATACCGGTAAGCACTTTGTATAACAAACCCCTCCGTCAAGTTTATTTGCTATCCCACTTCATTCCATGATCCATCCTCCCTGGATCTAATTTCTTGTCTAAGCTTGTCCTGTCCTCAAGCCTTGTCCCATACCTTCCTCCCTTGTCCATTCTCCCAAGCTTTATAATCTTACAAGCTTCACATTCCGTCCCCTTCCCGCCATGGCCCAGCCTTCGCCTCTCAATTCGCATGTGATCGATACCTCGTCACCTGGCCGGCAAACGTCTCACACCAACCCACGTCTCAAAACGTCTCAAAACTCACCTGGCCTGCAAACGTCTCACACCAACCCACGCTGGGGAGCATACCGCCTAACTTCATCTCTAACCATCCCTCTTTCCCCTCCCCCCTCCCTCTCCCCCATGGCCCAGCCTTTGCCTCTCAGTTCGCCTGTGACCGCTACCTCGTCGCCTGGCCTGCAAACGTCCCACACCAACCCACGCTGGGGAGTAGGCTTGCATACCGCCTAACTTCGGCCCTAAGCGTCCCGTTTGTGTACGTTGCCAGTCACAACGCGCTGCTGTGTTTGCGAAAGGCAGATTCCTCTGAGCACTTAGCTGAGAGTCAGCACTTAAGTGAGCCCCGGCTACTGGCTGAGTTAACTCCCGAGTTACAGGGAGTGGTTTCTGGACTGAAGTACTTAGGAAGGTCCTATGAGACACAGAGTGTGGCTGGTGCTGAGGTAGGTGGAGATGTAATGGCTGCTCCAGAAGGGGATGTAACAGTAGCTTCAGGAGATGTAACTGGAGCTGCAGCAGATGTAACAGGAGCTGCAGCAGCAGATGTAACCATGGCTCGGGCAGTCACTACAGCAGCAGGAGATGTGACGGTTGCTTCAGAAAGGGACGAGAACTGGGCTGTGAGCAGTGGTGACGTGGCGAGACTGCTGTATCGCCAGGTGGAATTGGAATGCCACCTGGCTGATATGGGAGAAAGTGGTTACAGCATGGGCAGCAGCAACGATGGCAGCAGCTTATTAAATAGCAACAGTGGCATCAGCAGCAGCAGCGGCAGCAGCAGCAGCAGCAGCAGCAGTAGCAGCAATAGCGCCAGCAGTAGCAGTACGGATGTGAACAAAATTCTGAAACCTGTTCCATCCTTCTCTGCAGTTTCTTTTTTCGGGCAGCCCGCTCTCGTTATAGACATCAAAAGCAGGCGCGGAGTCCCATTGAAAGAAATCCTTGCTATAAGCTCACCCAGTAAGCTACTCGACGCCCTTGTGAAAACACCCTTCTGGTCCAAAGTTGCTACATTAATAGGATGGGAGCAGTTAGGTCCGAAATCCGGGCAGCTTTTTCAATGGCTCATGCGGGTTACCTCAACAGAGGAAATTCGAAAACGTTTCGAAGAGGCTGACCCGTCCACGGTTCTTTTCATCGCGGACGGTTTTCACTGGCTACCCGAGTATCTGGAACTCGTCATCTGCCCGGAGAACGAGAAGTTTCTGAGAGATTTAGGGTTTGATATGGGCAGCGTGCGAATGGTAAACTCCAAATCCATCCGTTCTCCTGAATCTCGATTCGCCCAGATTCAAGAGATTGCCTCTTCGCTGGTCAGTCAAAATTTCATCTGCCCGGAGCTGGTGACTGGCCCGGTTCTCAAGGCCGACCTAAACGGGCAGTCGAAAGAAGTGGGTGGAAAGCTTTTGCTGCCCGTAGATGAGTCGGTCACAGTGATTCGAAAAGCCATCCATCAACACGGGATGTACCAAACTCCAGAAAAACCCCTTCAAATAGGTCTACTGTATGTGTCTCCCCCGGGTAAATTACCCTCCTTGTACGCTGACTCGGAGCGGTTTATAAAGGAGATGATGGGTCAGCTGCGTCAGCTGGGTGTAGCTAGTGCAGAGAGGACTCAGATGCGAAAGATAGTATGGGAGCCGAGGAATAGAACCTTGGAGCAAGGGAGATCGGAGGAGGGATTGGTGGAAGCAGTGGTGAAAGAAGGAGGGTTGTTGGGAGAAGAAGGGTTGAAGCAGCAGTTTTCAAATGGTGGTGAGGAGGACTTGAGGCAGTTTATGGTTCAAGAGGTAAGCATCTTGAAAGATGCAAGGGCGGGGTTTCTTGTCCTGGTGTGTGGTTTCGGGAAAGGCGTTGGGGAGCAGAGTTCGAATGCTGCTGGTGTTGTGTGGCGCGCACTGCAGCATGCGACTGGAGGGATAGTGGAGGATTTGACAAGAGAGCTGGACACGTGTATCGACAACACCAGCACCAGTTTTAGCAGCAGCACCGGCAGCAGCAGCAGCGCAAGTAGCAGCAGCAGAAGCAGCAGCAACGCATCTACCATCTCCTCCCCTCTCCCATCCCACATGCTCACCCCAACCACCTTCGCCACTCCAAACGACTCCCGCAACTACTTCACTACCCTGCTCTCCTCCTCCGTGGAAAAAATCGCAGTCGAGGCCGGCGCTCTGCCCTACATTCTCTCCCCCGGATTCGGCGAATATACCGACTGCATAATCGGCATTTCAGCTAAAGGAGGGGGCTCTACTCCTGCCCATGCTCCCTCTTCTCCTGCCTCTGTTCCCTCCCCTCGTTGGTCTTGGGACTCTTCAGGGTCTTTGGTGAGGGAAGAGCCCTCTCCCTCCGTTCTGGAAGGGTTGGGGAGGGATGAGCCTTCTCCCTCCGTCCCGAATGGGCTAGAATGGGATGAACTGGCAGTGATTTCAATTTTTGGGGCAAGAGGCGAGGTTCGGAGGGTTGTGCCTGTGCTTTGTCCTGTAGTGGGGGAGGCGGTACCTGCCGCGGCCCTGGAAAGGGCGATAAGGGAGGAGGACGTAAGGGGAGGAAGGGTGGTGGTGATGCGGCATGGGCGGTTTCAGGAGGGGGAGGTTGAGTGCGTTCGGAAGGTGTTGGGTAGGGTTGGAGCCCGGGGGACGTTTGTGGAGGTGGGGGAGAGTGGGCGGTGTAGGTTGTTTCGAGCTCTGCCTCCCTTCGCTGAGTCGATGCCGGCAGCAGCAGCAGAAGGAGCACCACCAGCAGCAGCAGAAGGAGCAGCAGAAGCAGCAGCAGCAGCAGAGGAAGACGTGTATTTCCCTCTTAGCAACACCAGTGCAGCCTTAGTGGCATCATCCATAGCACGGGGCATGCCTCAGCCCATGTCAGTGGAAATCCGGGAAAACGATCTGGGGTTGTCCTTACAGCAGGTGGTGATGGTTGTTGCTGGGATGAGGAGGGTGCAGCATGGGGCTTTGCGGAAGGCTAAGCTTCCTGGAGTGATCCACTGTACAGACAGAAACGGTTTCCCGTGAAACACACTCTTCGAGGATTCAGGGGACATGGGGCATATGCCCCAGCCCATACCAGTGTGGAGGCCCTGGGTAATGACTTGGGGTTGGCACTGCAGCTGGTGGTGGTGGTGGTGGTTGAATGGGTGTTATCTTCACAGTAGGTAGTGACGGTGGTGGTGGGTATGATAGGATGAGGGTGCACCATGGAAGCGTGGGGAAGGTGAAGCTGCCTGCCAGCCAGGGATGAATTATTAGCGTGGTTTGGTGCATCCCAGGTTATGTATGTGTAGCATCATCTTTACGCAATAGATGGTGGTACTTCGGTTATTCATTTTAATACCAGTACCATTATTTTATTTCAATCCAGAAATAATATTCATTTAGATTTTTCGTTGTGATTTCTCTTGTCTAAACGTTTTTTATTGCATATTCACGAGTATGCCATAATATAACCAACGAGAGAAATTGTCGTGTGAAATCTCCAAATTTCGATAGAGGTTCCACTGGGTGTAACATAATAAAATCTAGCATTTGCAATTTATTTTTATGATAGGCATATGTTTCTATCCATTCTTTTAGGCTAGTACATTTCATCTGATCACCTTCTATCGAATCTCATCTTCCTCCCCTCCCTTCCCTCTCATCACCCCTCCCTCTCTTCCTTGCCTAATCGGAGCCACCATCTCATAGCGCCTCGGCTCCCGTAGATCCTGTCGCGTGTGTCTGCACCTTGGTGTTACCGATTCATACGCTTATCGTAGTTCTCGGATTATCGGCTTAGTCCTACTTTTCGATTTCCTTTATTTGGAAACCCAAGGCCCGAAGATGGCGTACGATCGGTACACCCGCGGAACTCCGACCTTCGACGACCTAGACGATCGCGATGCGCCTTACGGCGATCCGACCGCGTCGTCCGAGAACGACGGCGTTCCCGACGTCGTTAAGACGTTCGTCGCGTTTCTCTACCGTCACATTCGCGAAAACAATGTCTACGAGATCCACCAGATGTACGAAAACAGCTTCCACAAGTTATCGCAGCGACTCTTTAGCGAATCGCCGTGGCCCACGGCGGAGGCGATCGCGCCGGTGGTGGATCACGACCACGTGTTCTGCCTGCTGTATCGCGAGCTGTACTTCCGCCACGTGTTCGCGCGGCTCCAGCCGACGTTGGAGCAGCGGTGCGAGTCCTGGGAGAACTACTGCAGCCTGTTCCAGGTAGGGGACTTCAATGCGTTCAATAAGAATTTAGAGCGGTAATTAGGGGTTACTGTCATACTTAGACGAGTCCTGGGAGAACTACTGAAGCCTGTTCCAGGTAGGTGACATTAACGGGGGTCTAAAGTTACTGTCAATATTGTTGAGACGTGTAAAAGAAGGATAGTTACTAGTCGTGGGAGAACCACTGCGGCCAGTTCCAGGTTGGTGATATGAACAAAAACACTAACGGGAATATTGACGGAAATTGTGACAGAACCATCTATTGTTAGTATTTCGGAGACCTTTTAGACACATTACACTTTTCACGATTCCTTGAAGAACTGCTGCAACCTGTTCCAGATAGGCGGTACTAATGGAATGTGATTGTCCGTACTGTTGAAAAGTCCAAAGGAATATCTATTGGTACAAGGCTTGAGAGAATCACTGCAGCCTATCCTGGTAGCGAATCTCAACGAGTTTTAATGGAGATTTTAACTGTAGCGTGTTCCTTGGTTGGTGGTACTTGAGTCCCAAGAGTACAAGGAGGTTGAATGTCTAAATTGGGTTCATTGTTGTAATAATTCATGGAGCTAGAAGAAGTCAGTCAGGGATTCTAGTTCGGGGATGCTAATTCAGTCTTTTGAGACGTCTCAAAAGAAGTCAGGGATACTAGTTCGGGGATGCTAATTCAGGGATGCTGATTAAGGAATGTTATTTACCTTGGTCAGCATTCAAGGTCTTCCAAACATGGCTGGGAGAGAAGTAGGCCGGATTGGTTTTTTAATCCAGTAGTTGAGGAATAGGCACCAACTGAGAGACTGAGGCGGAATTCAAGTAGGGGGAGAAGTTTCAACGATACGAGAACGTACTTATGCTTGTTGCCTATGTTTTAGGATGACATTCGCACGAAGTGCGCCATTCGCGACATTGGGGTTTTCTCGCTAGGGTTAAGGAGGGTATACTTCGGCAGCGGCGTGTATTTTTGCATCCTCAAACTCCTCCGTGATTCTAATTGCTTGACTCCCGTTCTAACACCCCCTCCCCCCCATCCGGCCCCCCTCTCCCCCCATCCCGCCTCCCTCCCCCTCCTCCGTGTTCTCCCCCCCTTTCCCCCGCTTGCCCAGGTGCTGCTGCTCGGCAATCTCAATGTTCCGGTTCTCATTCTCTCTCCCATTCTCCCACCCATCCTACTGCGCATCCCATTCCATTCTGCTAACACCCCTTCCTTACTCTCCGTCCCATTCTCCCTCCCATACTCCGTCCGATTCTCCCCCTCCCATAGTTCCTCTCATTCTCCCACCATTCCCCGCTTATATCGCCTCCCATCCCGACCATTTAAACCCAATCTCAATGTCCTGGTTCCCATGCTTCCTAACCTCCTCCTCCTCGTTCCCCCTCCCCTCTCGACCGTTTAAACCCTGTCCCCCGGCGCGCGCAGGTGGTGCTGCTGGGGAACCTGAACGTGCAGCTGCCCAACGCATGGCTGTGGGACATGGTGGACGAGTTCATCTACCAGTTCCAGTCCTTCTGTCCACCGTCTAAACCCTGAACTCTCCCTCCCGTCCAAACCCTCCCTCCTGACCGTTTAAACCCTGTCCCCCGGCGCGCGCAGGTGGTGCTGCTGGGCAATCTGAACGTGCAGCTGCCCAACGCGTGGCTGTGGGACATGGTGGACGAGTTCATCTACCAGTTCCAGTCCTTCTGTCACTTCAGGGCGCGCGTCAAGAGCCGCACGGACGAGGAGAACGCTGCCCTGAAGCAGTGTGGCAATGTGAGTGCTCTGCTCTCTGCTCTCTGCTCTCTGCTCTCTGCTCTCTGCTCTCTGGTCTCTGGTCGTGCCTGGGGGGGTATAGGCATGGTGGGACATGGTGGACGAGACGAGTTCATCTACCAGTTCCAGTCCTTCTGCCACTTCCGGGCGAAAGTCAAGAGCCGCACGGACGAGGAGAACGCTGCTCTCAAGCAGTGCGGCAATGTAAGTGAGCGAGCTGCGAAGGGGTCGGTGCTAGGTAGAGCTCAGATAAGGGAGGAGAGGGGGTGGACGAGTTCATCTACCAGTTCCAGTCCTTCTGCCACTTTAGGGCGCGCGTCAAGAGCCGCACCGATGAGGGGAACGCGGCGCTGAAGCAGTGCGGTAATGTAAGTTCTCTGGTGTCTGGTGGTGCGGTGAAGGGGTGGCTGGAGGTGGTTAGGAAGGGCCAGGTAGACAAATGAGAGATGAGGGAGGTTGGAGAGAGAGAGTGCAACATCCTCGCCTCGTTATCCTCGTCGACGACTCATGCCGATTCTTCTGTCACTTCTCCCCCGCCTTTAGTGAGGTGTATTTTGAGGCGCCTCAAAATACACCTCGCCTCGCCATCCTCGTCGACGATTCATGCCGATTCTTCTGTCACTTTCCCCCTGCCTTCCCCCGGCAACATCCCCCCCCCTCCCCCCTCCTCCCTCCCCCCCTCTCCGTCTCCAGGTGTGGAATGTCTACGGAGTGTTACACTAGCTGCAAGCCCTGGTGACGAAATCCAACATCCTGGCCATTTTGGATGATGATTCACACGGCGGTGCAGCGGCAATGTTCCTGGCGACGGAGGGGTATGACATGACGGGCGATAAAAGTGTAGTTTTGAGACGTCTCAAAACTACACTTTCATCACGGAGGGGTATGACATGACGGGCGCGGGGGGCAGCAACGCGGAGCGAGTGTTGGGGTACCTGTCTCCCTCCCCTCGCCCCCCTCCTCACCGTCTCTTCTACTCTTCTTTCCCCTGCTTTCCCCCCCCTTTCTTCCCGCAGGTGTGGAATGTCTATGGTGTGCTGAACTACCTCCATGCGCTCGTGGCGAAATCCAACATTCTCGCAATTCTCGAGGACGATTCGGATGGAGGAGCAGCGGCCATGTTCCTGGCCACGGAGGGGTATGACATGACGGGCGCGGGGGGCAGCAACGTGGAGCGCGTGCTGGGGTACCTGTCGCTGGTGGGGCTGCTGCGTGTGCACTGCCTGCTGGGGGACTACCACACTGGCCTGGTGAAGCTGTCGCCGATCGATGTGGGCCGGCCAGGCGTGTTCCAGCGAATCACGGGCTGCCACATCACCGCCATGTACTACTACGGCTTTGCCAGCCTTATGCTGCGCAGGTGGGTGGTGCGGTGGGTTGGGTTGGGTGGGGTGGGGTGGGGTGGGGTGGGGTGGGGTGGGGGATGGGTGAGGCAGGGGCAAAACAGGGGGCTGCCACATCACCGCCATGCACTACTACGGATTCGCAAGCCTGATGCTGCGCAGGTGGGTCGTTTACTGGCTGGCCTTTTCAAGGCCAAGCAGTACCACGAGTCACTGCCGCAATACCACCAGATCCCTTATACACACACCCAAATCATAAACACTCACTTTCCCCTCCCCTCCCTTCCAGGTATGTGGATGCCATAAGGGCTTTTGGTGCTCCTGACGCTCTCCCTTATACACACACACACACACACACACACACACATATACACCCATGCAGGTACGTGGATGCTATCAGGGCATTCAATCAGGTGCTCCTGACGCTCGCCAAGGCCAAGCAGTACCACAAGTCGCTCCCCCAATACCAACAGATTCTCTTATCCACACACCCCATATACACTTGCCCTTCTCCTCCCTCTCCTCCCCCCCAGGTACGTGGACGCCATCAGGGCATTCAACCAGGTGCTCCTGACGCCCATATACACCCATATACGCATCCATATAAACATGTACACACCCATGTACACCCATGCACACCCATGTACACCCATGCACACCCATGTACACCCATGCACACCCATGTACACCCATGCACACCCATACACACCCATGCACACCCATGTATACCCATGCAGGTACGTGGATGCTATCAGGGCATTCAACCAGGTGCTCCTGACGCTCGCCAAGGCCAAGCAGTACCACGAGTCGCTCCCCCAATACGACCAGATCCTGAAAAAGACCGAGCAGATGTGCACCCACTGTGCTGCTCATGCCCTCCTTTCCTCCTAACACACCCACCCATACGCACCCATCTATACCCATGCATACCCACGCAGGTACGTGGACGCCATCAGGGCATTCAATCAGGTGCTCCTGACGCTCGCCAAGGCCAAGCAGTACCACGAGTCGCTCCCCCAATACGATCAGATCCTGAAAAAAACTGAGCAGATGTTCGCGCTTCTCGCCATCTGCCTCTCGCTCTGCCCGAACGGAAAGCTTCTGGAGGAATCCGTTAACGGGCAGCTGCGCGAAAAGTTTTCGGACAAGATCCAGAGGATGCAGCGCGGCGACGAGGCGGTTTTCGACGAGCTGTTTTCGTTCGCCTGCCCGAAGTTTGTCACGCCTGCCCCTCCCGTGGAGGATGGGGGGGAGCTGGTCAACTACAACCAGGTATTTACATTAACTATATTCACCTCTTTTTTCAAGGAAATATTGTTGAAGCTTTCTGGCTGGGTTTGTCATGCCTACCCCTCTGGTGGAGGATGGTGGAGCACGTTTTTTTGCATTCTGCTGCCCTTCTTCGTTCGTAAGCAGTGCCCATCCCACCCAAACCCCCCAACAACCACCCTTCTACCCCCCCCCCCCCCGGGGCCCACCAGGACGCCTACCGCCTGCAGCTGAAGCTCTTCCTGGCGGACGTGCGCCCCCAGCTCGCCCTCTCAGGGCTGCTGTTGATGTTTCCTTACCTCTCATCCCACCCCACCCCACTCCACCCCTCTGCACTCCACCGTGCTCCCCATCGCAGGACGCCTACCGCCTCCAGCTGAAGCTGTTTCTCGCGGATGTGCGCTCCCAGCTCGCCCTGCCAGGGCTGCGATCCGCCCTCTCTCTCTACTCCGCCATCTCCCTGCCATCTCCCTCCCATCTCCCTCCCATCCCCCTGGCCCCTTACCAGGACGCCTACCGCCTGCAGCTGAAGCTGTTTCTCGCGGACGTGCGCTCTCAGCTCGCCTTGCCAGGGCTGCGATCCGCTCTCTCTCTCTACTCCGCCATCTCCCTGCCCCGCCTCTCCACCTTCCTGGACGTTTCCGAGACCACCCTCAGGTGAAGCGTCAGGTGGTTCCTCAGGTGCCTCTTCAGGTGAATTATGTCAGGTGCGGTTTCAGGTTAAGCAGCAGGTGTGGTCAGGTGTTTGTTTGTGCAGGTGAGTTTGCAATGCGTTTCCTGAGCTTCCAGACTCTTGAAAGTAAGGAGGTTGATGGCTCTGTGCTGCCCAATGCTCTCGCTGTTCTCATAAAAAGCTTCCGCACTCTGTACCATTCTCCACGCCTCTGTACCCCTCTCCACATCTCTGCACCCTTTTTTTGTTTGCAGGACCGCTCTGATCACCCTTCGCCATAAGAACACCGTCGTGGAGGGGGATGGCTCGGTGCTCCCCAATGCTGAGCTGGACTTCTACATCGATGATGTAAGCACGGCATGGGGTGATGTCAGCACGGCATGGGGTGATGTCAGCATGGCATGGGGTGATGTCGGCAGGGCATGGGGTGATGTCAGCAGGGCATGGGGTGATGTCAGCAGGGCATGGGGTGATGTCAGCAGGGCATGGGGTGATGTCAGCAGGGCATGGAGTGATGTCATGGGACTCTACCTACCCCCTCCTCCCTGTGAACTGCGTCTAGATTTTACTCAAATTCTTTCACACTCAACACTCCCCCCACCCTTCCCCTCCCTCCCCCCCAACTTCCCTGACTTCGGTTGGTTCACCATAAAACCACAAGTCCCCAATACATCCCCCCCCCCTTCCCCCACCCCTTCTCTGACTTCCCATCCCCCCATTGGGAAATCTCTCTCAAGATCCGATTCAGGTGGTTTACCAAGAAATCTTGTGTCTCGTATACACTCCCTCCCCCTCCCCCTCCCCCTCCCCCTTTGACTATCTCTCTCAGGACTTGGTACAGGTGGTTGATCGCAAGACCACGCGGCGGTTTGGGGACTATTTCATCAAGCACATTCTCAAGGTATGGGTTGTTTGTGATTGTACCGAGGTGAAGTAGTGGGTTAAGGTGACTTCAGAGTCCATTCAAACAGTTTGGGGACTATTTCATCAAGCACATTCTCAAGGTACTGAGGTGATGTGGGCCATGTACAGTGGGGTTTTCTTGGTGGTGGTTGTGTTGTGTGTACCAGTGTGCGCAGTTGGATGTTTTGTCTTATCTTTGGATCAACCATCTTTTTTACTTGTTTGTTCCGTCTTTCCCTTTTCACCTGTTTTGTGTTTCTCTGTTTTTTTTGTTCAGTTTGACGAGCTGGCGGGGCAGCTGGAGAACGTTCAGCTAGTAGTGTAAGCCGGATAAAATGTGTAATTGACCTTCAATAGACGAGGAAAAGGGGAAAAAATACGGTACAACACATTATAATAGAGCGTAATAGCAGGAAGGTTGGGTGTGAAAAGAGAAATAAGTGATTTCCTTGTACACCTTGTTGGGCTGAGAAAAGCCCTTAGGAACTTTCAGGACTAAGATCGGGTGTTGACGTAGAGTTGTAACAGCGGAAGCGTTTAACACAGAGTTGTCGTGATCCACCTTGTACTAGTGTGTGAGAACAAGATAAGTTAATAATAGCAGAGAAGTACAAGGCTTTTATATGATGACAAAGGAATATTGAAAGTTCTATTTGAACTGTTTTTGCTGTTGCGGTTCGATACAGTGCCGACTCGGGTAACTGCTCTGTAACGAGTCAGTTATGTGTCCTTGCTGTCGCACTGTACGTTTCGTCAGGTCAAAGGTCGGAGACCTTTGACCTTCGCGCAACCTCTGACGGTTGCCTTGGTTGACTCGAGTGCTTCTTCGCTGTAGTCAGTTCCGTTTTGTGTCGAAGCTTCGATACGACAGAAGCATTATAAATCACTTGTTTCCAACACTCCCCTTCGCTTCTGGAGGATCGTTGCTGATGACGTGTCTTTGTCCAGTCAGCAGCATGCAGTACTCGAACTTCTGTTTTCCGAGTTTCTTGGTCAAGTAGTCAGCTGCCATCTCAGATGTGGGACAGTAGGATAGTTCGAGTCTTCCCTTTTCGATCTCGTCTTTCACGAAGAAGTACCGAAGGGCGATGTGCTTCGTTCGATTCGCGAACCCGTTTTTGTTCGCTATGCGGATGGCCGATTGGTTGTCGCAGAAAAGAGAGAAATTGGGTAACTGGGCCAATTTTGCTTCCTCCAGTAGTTCGCGAAGATCTAGTCTTTCCTTGGTTGCTAAGCAGAGTGCGATATATTCTGCTTCTGCTGACGAGAGAGCGATTAGCTCTTGCTTGTTCGACTGCCATGAGATAGGCCCGATAGGTTCGAGTCTGTAGACGTAGCCGGTTCGAGACCGTCTGTTGTCAAAGTCTCCAGCGTGATCGGCGTCGACATAACCGATTAGTTTAGGTGTTGCGGTGCTGGTCTTGTGGTAGGTGAGGCCGATCGTCGGAGTGCTGACGAGATAGTGAAGCGCTCGGTTGAGTTCGAGCATGTGTTCTGCTTCAGGTTTCTTGAGGTAGGTGGCAAGTTGGCTAGCTGAGTAGGATAGATCCGGTCGACAGGTGACGGCTGCGAAGAGTAGGCAGCCTAGTTTCCTTTGGTAGTCGCGGACGCCAGCAGGTTTGAGTAGGGCTGAGCCTTTTTTATTTTCGTCGGTGTAGCGGTATGGTGTGGAGATAGCCGTTGGGATGAGTCCGAAGCGTTTAGCAATAGTATCCGTATATTTAGCAGTGCTGAGGTAGATGGCATCGTCGCCGTCTTCGATGTTCAGTCCTAGGTACTGCGTCACGGTGGTTGCGACGGTGAGAGTTAGATCTCCCTGCAGCTCCCCTTCAAACCATGTCGTCACAGTGTCGGTGGAGCCTATGTAGAGAAGATCATCGACGTAGACGATAAGTAGGATATAGTCGGTGCCTTTCGTCAGTCGATACATTCCTTGGTCGTGTGCTAGCTGAAGAAATCCGATGCGAATTAGGCGGGCGTGAAGGTGCTGCTGCCATAGTCTCGGGGCTTGCTTAATCCCGTACAGTGACTTCTCCAGTTGACAGATTTGGTTGGGGCCTGCATTGGATCCGTGTGGGAGTTCGACGAAAATCTCAGCGTCGACGGGGGCGTAGAGGAAGGCGTTGGCGACATCAATTTGTCGAAGCTTCTTTCGGTTCATGGCGGCGATTGCGAGGAGAATCCGCAGTGAGGTATGTCGGCTTACTGGGGCGAATGTTTCCGTGAAGTCTCGCCCTTGCTCTTCGTCGAAGCCCCGCACGACCCAGCGTGCTTTGAACTTGTCGATTGTTCCGTCGGCTTTCGTTTTCACGTGGAAGACCCATTTTCCCGTGAGGATAGTTTTGTTGCATGCCAATTCGATAGGCACGACTTTCCAGGTGTTGCGTTCCTGCAGCGCCTTCAATTCCTTGTCCATGGCTTCACGCCATTTTTCCCTGTGTTCCCCCCCCAGAGCCTGCTGAATTGTCGCAGGCTCCTTAGGTGGTTCCGCTCCGTGGACGGCGGTGACAAGTCCCAGTATCTGCAGACCACTCTGTGTGTAGCGGGGGAGATTTGTGTCCTCTGGATAAGCTGCTTCGTCTCCTGCTTCGGGGTCTGGTAAGAAATTTGGTCCTATGCGTTCGGAGATGTTGGTATCGACCGGTTGAGGTGTAACGTAACCGGTGTCGGCGAAGTCGAAATAAGTTTCGGCGTTGACACTTTCGCGGGGATTTTCGTCGTCCATCGGGATAGGCACGGAGCAGTATGGGAGTGGTCCTGCTTCTTCGGATGCGTTGTCCACATTTTTCTCGTCCCAGTCAGCTTCGTCTACTGCTGAAGCAAAGGCTCGGTTGCCACGGAAGCCGCCCGTGAGGTCTCGATTTGCTGCCAGGTTGTCCAGGTACGTTTGAAGTGTGAGTCGTTCGTAGAAGATGACATCACGTGCTGCCACTGTTTCCTTCGAGTGGACGTAAAAAATCTTCCATGCGTTGTAATGCTTTTCGATGCCCAGGTGTAGTCCCCATTGTGCGCGTTGAGAAAATCTTCCGGCTTTTGCAATGTGCGGACGATACTGTACCATGCAACCGATGACTCGTAACATTTTTGTGTTGCCCAACTTTCCTGTCCACAGCAGGTGCGGTGATGCATTGTTCGGAAGTGACGATGACGAAAGCAAGTTGTGCAGCATGACAGCGTGGTCCATCGCCTCAGGCCACTGGTGATTGGGCAGTCGCATGCCACGCAGCAATTTGCGCATGGTGTTCTGGAGAGTTCTGTTCATCCGTTCTGCCACGCCTTGTTGTTGATGGGCATAGGGAAGCGAAATGAGTCGCTTGATGCCTCGTGTTGCGAGGTACTGCCTGAACCTCTAAGACTGATATTCCCCTCCTCCGTCAGACTGGAAGCTTTTCCGCTTTGCGCCCGATTCTCGTTCTGCCACAGGTAGCCAGGCGATGAAGGCTTCGAAGGCCATGTCGCGACTTGGAAGATTAAGGTGCCAGACGTAACGGGTGGCGGCGTCGATGAAAGTGATTACGTAATTATATGCGCCTTGTCCTTGTTCGCGAGTATACAGAATGTCGCTGTATACTTTCTCGAGTGGTGCATAAGCTGGCGCGCTTGGATTGTGGTGAGAAGCGAACGGTTGATGTGGTAAGTCGGCTTCGGGACAGGTAAAGCATGTTCCGCGGACTCGTTGGAGTTCTTTGCCGTCGGGTAGAAGTAGCGAGTCCTTGTCGAGCACTCCTGCCTTGATTGTGTTGTTTAACGTGGTGTTGCTTGGATGTCCTACTCGTTCGTGCCACAGGGACTCACTTGCACGATGTCCGGGTGAGCGCCTATACAGGTTGGAGTTGGAGTAAAAGGCGGCGGTGAAGTTGGCGCTTCTGTGAGCTTCTCGTGGAGTGGGAGCTAGCTGCTGCGCAGGAGTCGGTGGAGTGTCGTCGATGGGTGGTGATGCCGTCGAAGAGCTCGCGATTGGTGTTGTAAGTGTTGTTGGTGTTGCCGATGTTTGTCTCTGCTGCTGTCGATGTTGTTGCTTCTTGTCGGATTGTTGCTAATGCACGTGTTCTTTCTGCTTCAGGTATGGTATGTGAATACCAGAACCCTCTGGGGCTGAAGTCAGGATCGAGGTCCGGTGGGTGCGTCCAGGAGGCGAAGTTGACGATGCCGTCGCTATCGGCCGTTCCTTGATCTGGTACAAAGTCGAGGACGAAGACGTTATTTTTCAAGACTGCTTTGCCGATGTAGAGCCCTCCTCGACCGTGGAAAAGCTTGAACTCCTGTGTGGTACTATCTGCTTCAAGATGGATCCCCTTTGCCATCAGTTGGCTGACGCTCAGTAAGTTGTAGCCAAGTCCTTCTGCAATCAACACTTTAGATATTTGCAAGATGACGTTAGTCTCTCGGGATTGAAGTTGTACTACGCCTTGTCGTCGTGTGTGCAGGTTCTGGTTGTTGGCCACAGTGATGACGACTTCGCGCTGAAGTTGATGCTCTTGTTGGACGAAACGGCTCGAGGAACATGTCAGAATCCCAACCACTAGACCATTGGGATAAAAGGGCTTGTTAAGTAGCGGGTCAGAGTGCGCCCATAACCCCCCAGGCGAACAAGCCTGTAACCCCCCTAGGATCAATCGGGCATCCACAGTGCAGATCTACTGATACCCCCCAACACTGGGAGGCCCAGGACTGAGCACAGCGGCAACGGCCTACATGTGCATACACCGGGATTCGAACCCGAGACCTTTCTGACACCATGTCAGAATCCCAATCACTAGACCATTGGGATAGAAGGGCTTGTTTTAGTAGCGGGTCAGTGCGCCCATAACCCCCCAGGCGAACGCGCCTGTAACCCTCTCCAGGATCAATCGGGCATCCACAGTGCAGATCTACTGACACCCCCCCACACTGGGAGGCCCAGGACTAAGCACAGCGGCAACGGCCTACATGTGCATACACCGGGAATCGAACCCGAGACCGCTCTGATACCATGTCAGAATCCCAACCACTAGACCATTGGGATAAAAGGGCTTGTTAAGTAGCGGGTCAGAGTGCGCCCATAACCCCCCAGGCGAACACGCCTGTAACCCCCCTAGGATCAATCGGGCATCCACAGTGCAGATCTACTGACAGAACACATATGTTGTCTGCAGCAACTGTCCAAGAACCAGGTGTCTTGCCCAGACGGCTCGCTTTGGGCGATAGCTGCATATGTTGGATTGGGCTCCAGTTATTCGCGGCGGGGAGTCCTTTCATCAAGTTGGTCTTCTGGTGAGTAGTAGGGTGGTGATCTGGTGATGCAGGAGTCCGTCGTTCTTGTCATGCAGCTAACGAGATTTCTTG